GTATGTTTTATAAGTTATCATTGATAACGTACTAATTACAATTTATATTTGATGTAAACTACAGATCTAAAAGGTCTTTTTTTTATAAAAAAATTTTGTAATGACTATTGCTAAATAAACTATCAAAACTTAAAATGTAGTAGAAAATAGCCGATATTGTTTGAATAAATTAAAAACAGTCAAATGTGCACGAAAAAAGTTCAGCCTGTTTATATAAAAAAAGCTTTGGGTTTTATTCATTAAATATTATAATGTCCATTATACCACATATATTAACCAATGTTATTGTTGTTAAAAAATATGTATCGCAGTTGCCGAGGACCTTGTTAGCTTCGGCGTCGGGGGTCGTGGGTTCGTTTCCCACACGGGACAACTAATTGTATGACCCACAGATAGTTGTTTCGCATCTGGGTGTTTGTCCGCGTGAATTTTATGTTTGTGAAACGTCCTTACAACACAGGACACTGTTGTCCTAAAGTAAGGGCGATATTTTATAAAGGAAAAAATAGGTACGTACGCAAGTAAGAAGTTATACTACTTTAGCGTAACAAAAGAAAAATAACTAACATTTTTATCCCCTGTACCAGTACCTATTTGTTTGTGAAAGTCATTAAATGCAATTACTACCGGTTTAATTAAATAACTTGGAATTATAAACTAACTTGGTAAATGCCAAAAAGTTGTAATTGTTTGCCATGGTAATACTGTGCAGTTGGTCGCTTCGCAACTTCATCATGTCGCTTTTGGAGTGTGCACGCGCATCGTAAAAATTTTACTCTCATAATTTTCTCTAAACGCGCCAAAAGACTTGCATAACTTCAAAAACGTACCAATCCCCCGATGATAAACAATGGGAACGTGTAATGCCCTTTCGTGCAAGCGATGCGTTTGATGAAATTGCCTTTCATGAGTTCAGCACATTTACTTTGTACTCGCTCTAATTTGGCGACATGCAACTGCCGCGCCGCCGTTTCGTAGAATAACGTCACATGGTATGTAAACAAAATGTTGTATACACATATCCATTAACTGGAGGGAAAATTGAGGGAAAACTAAATGTTTTTTTTTTTTTGTATCAATATGCAGCTATAAAGAGTATTAAAAATCAGTAATGTTTATTATATTCGCTTTTAATTTACCTAACATTGTATCGAAAATTAACATATAGTATTGAGTACTTAATTGTTTAAACAAAATCGAGATTTTCGATATAAAAGTAATTAATTTGATTACATTTATAATATTTTTATCAAAACAATCTAAAAAAAACCTTATAGCTATTGACAATAAACGTGTCGCATACTGCGGAACATATTTTTATTGTAGAGCTAACCTAAAAAAAAAAAAAGCTAATTTTTGTTTATACCGATGTAAGATAATTATTAGGATGTTCGAATAAGCATATTTCACCTAAACATATTTTATTATATTTTCAGTCGTTAAATGATTGTTATGTTGCATTAAAATAAGTGTTTATAACATTTTACACATTTTGTAATTAAACATTTAAGAGCCTCGTTGTTTGTAAGATATATTATTTATAAATCAAAAGGGCAGGATTGAAAAAAATACTCTATTACAAAAAATACTGTAGTATTTTTTTTTAAAACAGAAATTCGTATTAAAGCTAGGACAAAAGTTTTAAATATTTTTCTTTTTCTAATATGGCGCTGAATTTGTTATACCGAAAGGTGGTTTTTTTAAAAAAACTGATGTTTTTGCTTTCAGTCCCGAGACTATTAAAGCTTCATCTGACGCAGAACCGGTGGGCTAGCCAGAACCCACTGGTTTGGGCTGTGGGTAGGGCCACGCATGTGCTCATGCGTGCATTTAACTATGGTGTGTCATCTAAGACCGAAACCCCGATGGCCGTCGACTGTGCAATTAGCTAATCGGTGGCTGGGGGCGGTGAGAACCGCCCCGGAACGCGGGTGTACCTTGTGTACGCGTTGTATTGGTCTCGCCGTGCTCGGAGGCGTTTGTTGTTGCACTAACTGTGGGTGTAGTGTTGTCCGGCGGGACCCCCGGCAGTGGGTCCGGCGTATCTAAGTCCCCTTCCTCGACCGGGGGTTTATCGAATGGTTGTACGCCGCAGATACCTTATTTATTTACACAAGGCATGTAAAATAAAATGTAAAAAAAGGTTGTACATTATTACGTTTTCATTTTTTATGCTATGAAGACACCATCTCAAAAGATTACAATAAAACGATAAACAGTTCGTGGTAAGAATGCGATTTAAAATAGTAATCTAATGTACGTTCTTACATATTTCCTACGTATTATAATGGAATCAAGAAAAACCCTCTTCCCTCTGAATAGTTTTGTAGCAAAGGATCTGACGTAAGTACGCTCGTATCCAATTTATAGCTGCTCTCAGCTCTTGAATGCAATTCGCTTGCAAACTCTATTTGATTGTTTCGATTTTCGCGAAAAACACGTACTTACTAGGAAAGAAAGAAATCTTTTCAAAGTTAAATTTTACAACGTCATCTACTTGATATATGACCTATACTCGTTTAATAACAATGAAACACTTTTATTTCAGAAGAACTCATTGTGGAATTGTTTAAATGAATATATGTACGTTTAATTACAAATTGCCAGCGAGAATTCCAACGCATGAGAAAGTACGGCGAAAGTAAAGGAAGTTTCGAAATTATGTGTGCTGTTGTAGAAAGTGAAAAATAATTGTTCGGATGATAAATTTGTGAGAACAACTGACGATTTGCTCAGGTCTCAAGAATAAAAATTTCGAAATGTAATAAAAGCCAATGTTTGGAAAGCTATTGATAATGAAAAGAGACGTAAATTCCAGCCTTCAAAACTTTCAAAGTTGCCATGATTCATTGACCAAAATAAAAATCAAGCTTTCACTAACAATCTAATACTCAAGTGAAACCATTATTTTAATACCTAATATAAAACCGTAATAACATTACATTTAAATCAGGGCAGCAATGGCCGAAGGCTCGCTTTGTTATTTAAGTTGCCAAAAGGATGGTTACACTCTGTGAATCGATCAGAATGATCTTTTTAATGATCAATCCAAAGAGTGTTTCAGAAACCAGGGGTAAAAAAAAACTGATAAGTTGACAAGCAATGCTTCGTAGCTGTGTTGTGATCATGTTATAAAAGAAATCTGTCAAACATTCTCCTTTTATTTTATCTGTGTTTCTAGATGAAACTCCGGCTGAAACTTAAAAATGTGTAGACTAAACTGTTGCAAAAGTTTTCGCCGTTGCCACGATTCGACCCTGCGCCTTCCGAATTACGCGTCCACATACTCTAGCCTAGCTTACAGCCAAAATCCTCGAAACTCCAAACCCGACGTGTACTTATTTTTATTTCGCCTGTAACAATGCTGGGCGTTATCTCATAAGCTCATTAACGAATAAATTATTTTGTGGTGACTAAGTGGTCATTAAGTTTTTGGCTGAGCTTTATCGTTGCTAAAAGTTGTATTAGTTGCAATTAACGATAGTGTGGAAATGACTAACACAAAATAAATTGCATGTTCCCTTTGCATCAGTCCTTTCCTGATTTTTATATATTTAACAACACTTTAAAATATTCTACGATCTGGGACAAAAACATTAATAACAAGGCTATTGGATAATAAGACATGAACCCATTTATTTTCATAATATTCACTCGCATTCCAGAAACATAAAAAAAAAAGTTTAAATCATTGATATCGACATATAAGAATGGTTGTCCAGTTAAAAAAGTGATATACAGCATTCCCAGTAATTAATTCGCGTTTTCAAGTTGAAAATATTCTTTACTCTATGTTTGGTCAATACGAAAGTTATAAACACGTTCTATATGTAAATTCTGTCCTAATTGCAACATTGCATGCGGTCGTAAAAAAGATATCGATAAAAAATTTGTATTATTTTTCATGGAAATATATTTAATATATCTTTAATTGCAAAAATGCGATCTTCTTTTTGAATATGGAGTTGGGCCTTCAAATCGTTATGCGAATCGAGATATTGAACCAAACCCGTTTTCTAGACATATTTAATAAAACTAATGGTCGCCCAGTGGTCGAAATTCGACCATAATTATTTATATATGGTAGTAGGCAAATTTTTTTTTTTTATTGATTTAATGTATTTTTATTCATAATTAAAAAAAATATTAGCATGCTGCACTTCTTTTCTATATAAACTACAAGCGTGGGAAATTTTATAATCCTCCGTCCGCGCAATTTTCGTAAAAAGGGGTACAAAGTTTTTGCATCACGTATTAATACAAAGATACCACGGATGCATTTCTCCTTATAAGAGACATCTGTTAACAAATCGATATTATGAAATAATCTTGTCAGGGTTAAGGCGACACAGTGAATACACTGCACTTAAGTGCAGTGTATTCACTGTGTCGTCACAGCTTTATAGACTACATAAATTGAGGCATTTGTCGTAAATGGGCAACCGGACAGTTATTATATTCAAAACATAAATGTAAATTCTCTATCACTTACACGTAAAGGAAGTAAATATAAGTTATATACGGAAATGGAGACTCAGAGATCATCGTACCGCAAACATCGACTATTTTCATTAACGAAAGCGAAAGTCGTGTCGAGAATGCGCCAATAATCATCCGTTACGAGAATTGTCTCTTCGGACGCAGTGTATTATTTCAACGGTGGAATATGCATTTTATATTCTATATGACCAGTCCACCAATATCAAAAAATCATATGTATTTTAGTTTTTTGATTTTTGATTGGGACTAAAATAGCGTCTATTATGCTCCGTTAAACATGATGATTAAACTGAAATAAACTGTCTCAAACTTTAATCATTTCATCACCGTTCGGGGGTTTATATAACAAAATAACGTTTAATATGCTTGGTATGCACAGATGAGTGCTGGTGTTTGGAATTTATAAAATAAACCAAATTCTTAAAATTAATGAAACTTGATGCGCAAAACCACCTGGTGTGAAAATCGTTATAACATGCATCTAATGTTTCTTGTTCCAGTATGTGTTCGAGAATGGCACCCATGAAGAGCTTTTACCACGTGACAAGTTCCTCGAGGTCGGCGCCAGAATGGATGCTAGACGGGATTACATGAGGAGCGAATGCTCCAGACTGGGCCTGGACAGCTCGAGTAACAAAGCCTACGCTTGGGAGTATCTTATCAATCGACAGTACCACGTCATTTGGTAGGAACCGTAAACATATTATTGCTTTCAGCAAAGTCACGCATTTTAATTATGTACACTGCGTATACACTACTTAAAACTTAATTACACTTTTGGCAGGTTGGAAAGACCCGATATACGGAAGTAAAATATTGACATTTAATCACATTAAAGTTGTTGGCATACTTATTGTAACTCGTAATAATCATGTGTACATAAATATGTCACGAGAATTATTGCTTATAGTGTATTTTGTGACTCATCTCGTAAAATCAATTGGGAGGGCCATGTTGGCGATCAAGAAAGCCCTGAACTGACTCACACATGAAGCTACCAATGACCGTCAACTTCGTAGGTTTGTTGTAGTCTATCTAGCTCGAAGATGACTACAATAGATGTTCTAGGAGGCAGAGGTCGTTGGGACTTACGGCCTAACCACAAATCATAATCATTTTGTAAATATACCGAAACCCTTCCATTTGGGGTTTCTTCGCTGTAAGTTTCCGTTCCTAAATACCTACTTGTGTAAACCCACGCTGGAATATGGTGTTTATTATTCATGCTAATATTATTATAACGTGTAATTCGTGATTTCTATTATTACAATGTTCTTAATATTACTTTTACACATTTGATTATAGCTTATGGTTTACGTATAAATAAATATTGGTTGACGAAATAAAAGGAAAATAATGTGGGAGCTATGGAATTAACTTACCTAATTGGTTCACATGAACTAGAAAATAACGTTAATCTATGTTAATATCTCCTTCAGACTTTTAAAGTACTAGCAGGGAAAATATTTAATTTCTTAGATTTACCTGAAATTTTATAGACTGTTTTAATAGTTTTTGGAAATTTGTCTGTAGTAGTGATAGGGCCAACCAACACTCGCTATTGCACGAATGGGCTTGGGGAAGTACAACGACCGGCGTGAAGTGTGTTTGTTATACTTCTGCTTTTCGTTAGTGAAGTAACCGGGGCCCACTTTATTAAAAGGTTGCAACGCATGTAAAACCATATGGGTGTTGCAAATGTCCATGGGCAGGGATATCGATTCATAACAGGGATCAGGGATTAATAACTTACATATGTACTAACGACCCGCCCCGGCTTCGCACGGGTGCAATGTATTACACATATAAACCTTCCTCTTGATTCACTCTATCATCAAGACCCGTTGCATAGTTTTCAAGATCTAAGCATACATAGGGACAGATAGACAGCGGGATGACTTGTTTTATACTATGTAGTGATGTCGGGATCCTGTTCTATAATAAGTTCAAGGAAAACGTGAATGAATAAACCTATAAATAAATATGAATAACATAACAGCTGTCCGAGTACATAACAAGTTATTCAAATTCGGAAATTTCATAATTCTATTCAAACAAGTATCGCGGTTGAGGTTAAGACTCGTATTGCTCAATTATGCATTGGTAAAATAAACACACATTATATTCGTTTTAGCACATAGTTGTGGTATTCGTCTATTAGAGATTCATTCGATGTTTTTGATTTCAGGTGCAACATTTTCAAGGCGGCGTCGACTTCTTGGATGTACAATTTCAATCTAATGGCTAACTATTCTGCCGCCTTTCTGGATAAGACCAAAGAGGTCCCTTTGGAGCTGGCGAGGAAGAAGTATGCGAGGCCAACGGTTGAGATGATAAAAAAGGCTCAACCGGACTCGATAACATTCCTGATAGTGAGGCATCCTTTGGAGAGACTTGCGTCGGCGTACAATGATAAAATTGTACACGCATGGCCGAAGTCCTTTCATGACAAAATGGGACACAGGATAATAAGGAAATATAGGAAGGTATGGTATATTCTTCGCTGTAGAATGTTATCAGAAAATAGCAAAAACATTTTTTTTGACGTTGAATATTTATATATTCAACGTCAAAAAAACTTCACTCATTCTTTGAGCATGCCAATGCTAATGAATAATGAGTGCATAATGTCTCTTATAACCTTAAAGTTATAAAACAAACTAAAAATTCTATTAGTATTATTTTACTACCTATGTTGTGTTATTGATAAGATCAGTCACTTAACGATTCGACAGTGTACTATATTACTATTCCACGGTTGGTTTTGTTACCTAATCAAGCGACTTCAAAAACGGAGGAGGTTCTCAATTCGACTGTATTTTTATTATTTTTTTTATTTTGATGATTTTGATGATTCTTTTTTTATTTGAAAGTTGGTGCTTCCCATTTAGTCCCATATTAATTTCCTTGGTGGATCTTGGGCTCGGGAGATACGAAGGGAATTCCTGAAAATCAATTATAAAATGAATACAGCGTTAATAAAATAATTGACTTGTACCAAAAAAAATTATGCCCATCTCATCTCTGCCTGACAATGACTCGATGGCGCGATTGCTATTATATTGACTTCGCCGCCAGGGTCATGGGTTCATGTCAAAAGTATTAATTTCATTAATTTAATGGTATTATTTTTTTATTTAATGGTATGGATACAAACATTTTATGGTATTAATAACATTATTCACATGTTGTGCCGACCCCACAAAGGTGGGATAATGACAGAAGAATGAAGATGTCTCTTTAAGGAGTTAAGTATATTGAAAAGTTGGCTCTCGTGTTATTATTTCTTAACAGTGTTGGCCAACTTTTCGAAATATTGACAATAATTATCATTGATATTCTTTGAAAATAAAGAAAATTTGCGTAGGAATAATAAACGCGTCAATATAAAAGATTTACAAAATGAGGGGAAAAAGGCACTGAACAGTTTTTCTACCGACTTCAATAAAGGAAGAAGTTCTCAGTTCTTTTATTTTTTCGTAGATTTGTTCCCTCAGACCTCCGTCATTTATGAACCAATTATAAAAATCATTTTGCATTCCTATGTGGTTTCATATTAATATAGATGGGAGATAAAAGATAATTAAGAATGTGTTTTGTTGATATGAGTTGAGATGAGTTTAGTTTTTGTTAAAAAAATGTTGTCTTCGCCTATTTACACATACATATGCCAGCATCAACACATGGCAGATTTCGTAAGCGTCGCATAACGCATAAGTGACCTCTGTTCTACCGCCTTTCTCTAACGTCCTAGCCGTGTTTTATGTGATTCACTGCAACATACGCAAGACGATCCTAAAACGTAACATCGTTCTTCGTTCATTCAATACATAACTTCTCCAAAGTGATGGACGTAATAGACTTGAAAGGGCGAAAATATATCGTCTTACGACGTGTGGCATTAAAATGTTTTCGCAGGAGTTAGCCGAATAACGAAGGTAATTCCCAGAACCGCTCCTGGGATGCTCAGTATTATTGTACGAAAGAGTATTGTGCAGTGCGGCACTTACTCAATCTTAACATTCGCTTCCTGGCTACTCAATGTTTACGAGGTTTATTTCCAAAAACAACTTTAAAACCCGTGCGTTCACCATTTAAGATTACATCTTACCACCAGGTGACATAGGAGTCAAGAACTAGCCGGCTCTTGGGTGAAAGTCTTATAATTAATCGGATGTTTCCAGCATTTGGACGGTAAGCCAACGCCAACGGAGCGCTATCCTGTTTTTGAGGAGTTCGTGGCTTACGTGCTGGACGAGGCGCGGGCCAAGCGGACCCTCGACATGCACTGGACCCCGTACACCAACTTCTGTACGCCGTGCAAGTTCAACTTCGACGTCATACTGAAGTTCGAAACACTTGATGTTAGTATCTCTTAATAAATCAAACTAGCTCGTCATTAGATAATTTTGCATTTGAAATCGCGTAACTGGACCCGTTTTATTCCAAACGTGATTATCAAGTAGGGATATGGCGAAGTAATGTCCGGTTTTTTAGTACAAAAACAGCAAATATTTTTACCATTACTTGACCCCTAATTATTTGTGCCAATTGTACTAGTTTTTTTCAATGCGTTGTGGTTTCCTAATAGTAGCAAATCAATACTTTATCATTTATTTATTTCTACGGTCGTTTAATAGTAGGGTCGATGTAACCTTGCTAACACGATCCTCATGTTTAATAATCTATGGTTAGGAAAACACCGAAGTTAAAAACACGACTTCCTGTAAAAAAAATTCTTTGCAGCACTCTTGCAATCGCTTCACGCAGGTCTTTTGTATATTGTAGGGTATCGTTGTGCCTCCTCAGACCACGTAGCCATACCGCAGTGTCTTGATGTATATAATCGATTAATAAATTAATATATACTTTGGATAGAACTTGGGTATCCGACAACTGCAATCATTGCTGCCGAAGCTCTAATTGAAAATAAGTGTTCGTTCAGACGCTAAGACAACAAGGATTAGTCTAACGTTGAGTTGGAGCCATTTATGGAGCAGATTCCAGAAATAATAAAGTAGCGTGTTATTATTACAAGGGTCCAATGCTGTATAATTCTGATAGGAAATTATTATAAGTATACTTTATGGACGGTTTATGTGCTTATGGCAGCTGAATCTAAACGACTATTGTATGTCGCTCCTAATGTTGGCGACGTCAGACCTAACGGCTCTATTGAACGTTGATACATTGATTAATTATTCCGACCTCGTAATTTTGCCACGTATGATTATGGATATGCGACTATTACTCATTGCTACAGTAATACTGAAATATCGCGGCGTTACATAACTATTAATTATTATATAAGTAGAAAAAAGTGCATTTTTCAAACACAAAGCCGTTAAAATTATGTTCTTGATAAATTAATTAATTACCTACTTTATGGAGTATTTGACGCGTTTGTAAGTGTCATGTTCCTTTCGTTGATGATGATGATAATGATGAGAGTAATCTCTTCAACAACTCATCATGTTTTGACCATTTAGGCTTGATTAGTATCAGGCTTTATTTGTACAAAAAACTTCAATTTATTGAACCTAAAGTAAAATTGCTTTACTAATCTCTAATTGAAAGTTAGAAACCAATGTATATGCAGATCAAGCCGAGAAGATTATTCTAAGTAAATTGATAGCCCGTGTCATCCCACGTTTCAAAACATGTTAAATACAAATAAGAAATGTAGGTTATTCCAGTTGGTAATACAAATAAGTTCATTATGGAAGAAAATTTGTCGATTCTTTGTTTAGGCTACTTGTGCGAAGTCGAAACAGGCCCGCTAGTAAATATTTTATTTATGTGATTGTAATTATCGTTCCATAATGGCATGCAAAAAAATTAATCTACTTGACATTTTTTTCATTCCTTCGTTTCATAAAAAGAAGCGCCATTAATAAAATTATTATCTGTAAGTAGAATCCTATGAGGATACAAACTAATGTTCTCATGTCACGCGATTTATAACACTATGAACACACGATACGCGAACTTAATAAAGAAAAATATATCTTTTTCATGTAACTATTTTTTTTAATAGAAGTTGCGTAAAATATGTTAAAATTTCGTGTAAATAAATTTTTATATAAGTAAAAAATAAAAACAACGATAAAAAATGATGCATCGGCCGGGAATCGAACCCGGGCCGCCCGCGTGGCAGGCGAGCATTCTACCACTGAACCACCGATGCTTACAAACCTACTTTTAAAATTAGTGTTCTATTTTTCTTAAAAATTTTTACGGCAGTTTTCATTTTTTTTAATGTGAAATGTTGCTCATTTTATTTTGTTTTGTTTATGCTCATCAAATGGACTCGAACAAACTGTCAAGTCATACTGACGTTTCCATCAGGAAAACCAAAAAATTGATAAATTCCGTAAAGTAGTTCAAAGTATCATGACACGACTACACAAAACTATGATCTATAAATAACTTTACTTTACTTCAATCTACCAGGAAGACCAACGTTTCCTAATCCAAATGGCCAGACTACAAGACGTCGTGAAGCCGGAGTGGCGTAACAGTGGAAAAGGCACTAACACACTCCATAATATCAATCATCTGTATTCAAGGCTCAAAAAATCTCAGCTAGACGGACTGCATAAATTATACAGGTATAATATTCACTTAAAGTAATACTACATTCATAAATTTCATAATTGTGAGTTTCAGAGACTAAGGTATATTTGAAATATCAGAATTTATCTTTATCTCTTAACGTGGTAAAAACTTTTCATTTGTGGTCAAACAAAGCACTGATAAACGTTGTACTGAAAGTAAATATCAACTTTTACGAAATGTCATATCAGCATTTTTCTGCACGAATACACAGCTCGTGTCTACTTCCGCTTTATACGCTCTCCCATGATGGGTATTGTGCGGTAAACTTACGTAATTTTCCGGTGTATACAATATCATTAATACCGGGTGTATTCATCATACCTTTACTTATTTAATAAATTTGATCAACAACTGCATTAAATCGATTTAAAATTGAACCGAGTCCCACAATTAAGTGTACACGCACTGTGTTTTTATTTTACTAACATTCACTCAATTCATTTTCCAGATACGACTTCCAGCTGTTCAATTACACCATAGACAACTACTATGAAATAGTGAAGGAAGACGACGAGAGCAATCACGGATGAGCTTTGGCCCCGAATAATGAGCGCTTCATTCCAATACATTATTCAACATCAGATGCGTAAGCTATAAACAGGCACAAGAAAGATGTAACAATAGTTCAGGACTCGGAAAGACTGATCGTGAGAACGAAAAGATTGATGAGAGGTCTATTGATCCGTTGTTGTCTTCATGAGTGTCATCAGTAACTCATAAGTCAATATATCGATTGCCGATAGAAGTATTTTGTGATACGTCAAATAGAATAACTATTCCAGTTCGCGCTTACGTGGAGCAAATACACAAATGTTTGTTAATGTCGCCTGTCCTAATGCACGAGGCCACTCATTCGATTTTATTTTAGAAATCAATTTTAAGATACGTACCTATGATTTAGAAATGCAAAACATGGCTCCTTTTTGATTTGCTATATACTTTTTTAAATGTGTGCATATTACACTTGTTCCATAAGATATATCGCGAATTATAAATGTAGTTAATTGCTGAATTCACATGAATTATTACACTAAGATGTAAATAAATTGGAATTGATAAAATTATTAAAGTACAGATATATTTAATGTTGTAAAATTCATTAGAGCTTCCGTAAACATATTTATGAAAAATGTAATGCTAGAAAATAGCGCTGTACGTAAATTATTCCACCAAGTTGTTGTTGGCGCAGAGAGAAATAAAATACTGGAATCTTTACGATCGAAAACATCTTCCGTGATTTGATTAAATTAAATAAAGAAAAAAAGCATGATAATTCATCAACAACTCATAATGTTTAAGAATTAATTAAGGCTAAGTACAAAATAAAAATTAATTCAAACCTAGAATTAATAAAAGAGTCCTTTATAAATACAAAAAGACGGGTACATATTTTTATTACATAAAAATTAAATAATTATATATGGTGATATGGAAATATCAATCGCACAAAGTTAATCGTAATGGATAGTTGGTTCATAAATATTTGATTGCTTAAATAGGGTTAATAAATTTAATCTAGTTATTTTTTTAGAAAGAATTAAATCGATGTTACAAAACATAAATATTGAATGACCGTGTTATTGAAACATTCCTATTCAAAGTGGTTTTCATATCCGAATGATTTAAACATTTTTAAAATTATTCCATGGTGTGATGGTGTACCTATCTACATCATCGATACAACTGTCCTCAAATTATGATGTATTGAGGCCTATACGATTTATCCTTATATTTAACGGATTTAGTCTCTTCGGTCACTGTTTTAAATGTTATATTATCACATTGTTCTTTATTTCATTATTTTTCAGCGTTAACTTATTTGAGCGCTGTAGCCTAATAAATATTGGGTAAAGTTCTCAATGAGAAAATATATCTAATTGTTGTGTTGTTATAATTTTACATATAAATTACTTATTTTAAATAATGATTTTTGTTATATCACCATCGTAGTCGATTAGGTGTTATAATAAGGACTCAAATTTCAGTACTGTTCTATGGACTAGTCGTAGTTTTAAACTTTTAAAATTGAAAATCTTTCTAATTGTTTATCTAATAACGAATAATTTAAATTTTAGATTTAACTTTGTTATATATAATAGTCGTGAATAAATTCGAATGTGTATGTCCGAAAGTGCAAATATTAGATAAAATTTTATTGAAATCACTTTTTGTTAATAAAGGAACATAACATACCTTTCGTCATAAACCGATATATTGGCCCTTTTTTATGTTATATTTACTATTTATGCCTACAAGTATTTAAAAATGTGTTAATAATTCAGAATATTTATTAAGTATTACGGTATGTAGATGATATTGTTTTTCTCCATAGCGGGCCTATTTACCGTGGTACAGACACAAATTCCTTCATAAAATTTATCTATGGAAAGTGGCCCCAATTAAGCCAATTAGAATTTAGCGAATTGCCTGCATGAACAGCTTTAGTGGTTCAATCTACAATCCGGCGTTATATTAAATAAATAACCTTTTGCCCTTCGACTAGTAAGAAATAATATTCAAATTTTAAGATTTTTCTGTCGGCAGTTTGTAATTAAAAACACACTATATTGTTGCTTTTACCGCGCATATGTAATATGGGAAAAGATTGTATCCAATTAGTTGTAATGGAACGAATCCTAGACCAAAAAGTAACGGCCTATGATAGTAACTGAAATGGTGCTATAGTCCTTTAGATTATGATCTCATATCAGAAGTTGAGATATGAATGCAGTGCGTACTTGTTGCTAATTATGTATTGTGTTATAGATTCCAACTGTAACTAAATCGGTTGTGTTTACATAATGTTATTGAAATTTTATTCTTAGTACTTATAGAGAAATAAAAGTTTAATACCGCAGATGTTGTTTCATTATTGATTTGTTTTTTTTTTCTTACTGTAGATTTCGTTACGTCACATAAATAAAAGCTGTCTTTTAACTAAGTGAAGGTAAAATAAGCAAACGATATTTGTCCACGGAGAAGGAACAAGTGCAGTGTCTTGCACAGCAGGCTTCTCGATGATATTCACAAAGAGCATTTAAAACAGCATACGCGTTATAAAAACAATGATGTGCTGTTAGCACATCATTGTTTCAGTGGCCCCAATTTGGGGATGTTAACTCGGGTAGGCAAAGGTTAAAATGACGTAAAATAAAAATAAAACAGCCCTTAGGACTTTACGTCAATAGTGAAAACTTTTAATTATATTATGTATCTGAGCGTGATGATCACGAGAGCTTTTTCCTCAACCAACTTACGGACCGTGGCCCCTGGTGTCCGTTGACTGTATTACTGTTCGTAAACTATAAACCGACTTTCATAAACATGTCTCGGTTAGGTAAGGCTTTTTATTACCATAACTATGAAATCAAATATTTCAAAAATGTTAATCGATCATATGTTATGTATATGTTATACGCTTACAAAATCACACGCCCAAAGTGTTCCTATTTCCAAACAGCATAGTAACAGCACACATTCGTTCGAATGGTTTAAAAAGGATAAGACAAAAGAGGATGGCAAATGTTTGTCACTTTAGCGTAACTGTTAAAAATCTCTAGGTGGATCTGTCTTTCTCGTCGCCCTGGTTAACATGAACTCGAGACGAGGCGCCCCAATTGGGAAGTTTTCGTAGCTTCACTTCAGGCGCGTTAACAACATATCTGTAGAATAGTATTAGTATAGTCATTACATTAATCAAAATCATAAAAACGGATGACTTACGTTTGATAAATTACTAGAAGTCAAACTTTAATAATTTTACTGCAGGTACTATTTTTTATTTTACTTTTATAAGGAGTAACGTCAGTTTGGGTAAATTTTAAATTTTTTTACAGAATTTGTGCTATTACAATCTCATTTATATCTATTACACCTTCATTTTATTGAATGAATAGTGTCCTTTTGAATAAATTTACGAAAAAACAACAGAACTATCCACAATTTCCCCCCAAACTCAAATTCAAAGTTATCGTGAGTTTAGGGTAACTTTGAATATATATTTTTTTTTAGGATGTTAAACCATCATTATTCGAATATTTTAAGATTTGGTAAAATTATATGACGTATTTTCATTAAATAAAACTTTATCTCTAAAAATAACATCTAAATTAACGTTTAAATGTGATATTGCATTGAAAGTTTATTTTTTTACATTTCGTTAAAACATTTTGCGGATCGATTAACGCAGTTACGCTATTGAAAAAAAAATAGTACTCGTGAAATAAATTAATAAATCTTTTTCACAACATTGTTCAAAGTTAAACCGCAATTCAAAGTTACCCAGAACGACTGTACTGTAATCATTTGTGATGAACACTAAATCTGGGCTTCCTGAAAATTGAGGAATTTATACTTTTGGCGCGCGCACACCGACAAAGCGACATGATAAAGTTGGTTGCAACGGGACCAACTTCACTGTATCACCATGGCAACCAATGACATATTTTTGACATTTTGTTACAATTCCAAGTTATTTAATTAAGCCGTTATGAATTGTATTTAATGTCTTTTTTATTAACAAAAAGTACAGGCCAAGGATAAAAATTTTAGTTGTTTTTCTTTTGTTACGTTAAAGAAAGAAGTATAAGTTCTTACGTGAGTACATAAGTACACAGTACCTACACACATTTTTTTATATATTACTAGCTTAGGGTAAAGTACGAGTTATTCAAATAAATCATTGATATTAAATAATTTATTGTTTAATAAGTATATGCATTTTTATGCCGTTTGAACTAGATGTACTGGAAATTGGGGTAAATATCCTCTCTTCTCTGCTACTTTGGTTTTGTTCCTGAAAAATGATTGCATTTAGATAAAATATAAGGTTTCTGGTTTTCTAGAAAAGTAAATAAATTGGTACTGCAAGAACCAATTAAACATTGTAAAATTGGACATTGTAAAATTTTCAGGATTATAAAACAGCTTTGAAAATACAAAACTGACATTAAAACATTAAAAAAAAATTTGGCCCTAATTAATGATTGTATCACTTTTAAAGTAATATTTTTGGGCATAACACAAAGACGGTGACCTAATGATATAAAATTTTTTGGATATGCTGAATTTTAACAGAAAAAACATGAACATCCTTTACAAGGGGCACTACAAAACCCTAAACCCAAAACCTGCAGAACAGGAAACCATATCATTAACATGAATATATTTAAAAAAACAACTATTATTGTATAAAAACAACTAACAATTCTTCTGCCATCATGGCTCTAATTTTTAAACTATCATGTGTTTAACAGAAACTGAACTATGTCACATTTATAAAAAAGTTCAACCTAACTCAATTCGGATACTCACTAGTAACTTTAACATAATTATTGTGTAATCGGATTTTATGTGTTACAACGGTTGCTAAATTTTAAAACAATCATCATATATACTTACTGTACACTGCTCTTTATTTTTCTCTTTGGTGTTTCTAATATTTCAATTGGGTTTGTTGTTACAACCACTGGTCTCACAGAGCCAAAGAAATCTGTAATGGGCACTTTACTAGGATCTCTCTTAAATAAGTCTTTACGAACACCCACAGTAGACAAGCACGCACTCTTTGGACACACCGCTAACTGTAAAATAACAATTAATATTTTCATTATGAAATGAGAACCATCTTAATGAATAACCTTCCGTTTTCATTAGTATTATAATAAACTATATATTCATACTAAGTGCTATAACATATAATAATAATAATATAGAAGTTATGCCAAATTTTAGATTTGTGAAATTATGGACAGTGAACATTGAAAATGAGACATTTTACAGCAAGGAATGTCAAGAAATATCCAATATCATATAAAGTATAATATATCATTACATTAAAAAAACCATTAATAAACTGTTAACCAACTCTCTATTTAACATATTACTATGTTTATTTGTATTATACCATTTAAAAATAAATGATATGGAGTTACTTACAAATTCAGACATTGTCCTATGACTATTAGGTTGAACATTTTCCAAAAATTCTAGCACATAATATGTGTATCTGTCAATGATGTATACTCCAATTGCAGAATCTACATGATGCTAAAAAAGGGAATACATATTTTTATTATCAAAATGGAGTAAATTTCAGAAAGTATTATTAATAAAAGACTTGTCCAGAGAAGATACTAAAAATAAACACTGAGGACAAATTGTAATTATGAGTTATTATTTTTATCATAACTAAATGTGATATAATACCATCTGTATAAAACTACCATCAATACAAACAGCAATCGAAAACAGTTTTTCTAATTGCTGTTTGTCTGGAGAAAAAGTGATCACTAGCAAACTTAATATTATCAAATGTTACTAAGAATCTACAAACCGACAATGAATCCTCGCCTACTAAACTACTTGCAGTTGCTAATATATTTGGTGAATAAAACTTTTCATACATTGATGATGCCTGACATGTGTCTATAATGAAGAAGATCTCATTATACCTAAAAAAAAAAGATTTTTCATTCACAGCTTTAAATTTTTCTTAGCATTTAATTCATATATAAACAAATTAAAAAATTTAAACCTTCTTTTTTGCCACATTTGTTCAAGAGCATCAGCTAACTCTTGACTTGTTACTTCTTCAGAGTCTTGGAATTTTAGAAAACCATCACCACCATGGCCAGTTAAGTAAATAAGTATATTACTGCCTTCATCAGTAAGTAGCCTCTTGGAGCGAGGTGTATCTGGATGGACACGTCCTGTAAGAAGTCTTACAAAGTTTTCTACTGAAACCTGAAATATGGAGTAAAGGTATAAAATTCTATATTTTATACTTAATTTTAAACAATATTAATTAACATCAAACTAATTTGCTTTTCTATAATTGTTTAATTATTCTTACTTCATATCCTCTGTAGTCCACCTCTACATCATCTCCATAGACACTAATTAACTCATGGGCGTTGTTGAAAATAGTGGCAGGACGTGGATTTCGAGGGTTGCAGGCCATATCATCTGAGATCATCAAAATAATCTGACTGTCGGGGATACCGAGCCGTTTAACGCTACGATAGATTGATAACACGTTCGCAACATGCCGATAATTAAACCAAAACCGGGATGTGTCCACCAATACAGCCCAGTTATTAGTGTGGTTAGATTTGTGAAATTGGTTTGGTATCTAAAATTTTCATACAACGAAAAAAAGTTACAAATGTATAAGCAGTGTTATTGTTTTCTAAGTTATTTTATGTTACCTCGATCGCTACATTCAATTTAATTGAAAATATATAAAACAGAAAAATAAAAAGAAATTTATTTTTCATGATAATTTTAAGTTTATTTGAACTTTATAATGTATCGAATTGTTAGTAACGATACATTCAAAGTACATATATTTATTTAATATATGATAGTTACAATGGCACTGTTATGTCGAACATTTGTTGATTGTTCATTTGAGTTTGTAATGTCAGTGTCACTGTCTGTTGAAGGAAGTGTTGAACATTTTTGATTGAAGGCAGATAATACAGCCGTTTTACTAAACAGAAAAGGCAAAGGTTCCTATAAAAGTAGTAGTCCATGGGTCATCTCCATGGACTCGATATTCTCTCTCGTGAGAGAATACCGAAGGAAGGACGATATGATTACGCCGACCGATCTACTGTGTCTCTGAAAAATGGGACCCTCATTAATGGTTCAGACCAAAATCTGAGCAACCAGAACGTTCCCCTGGTACGACTCCTTGGTCCCCTGCGAGTTTCATCGTGCTATGCACTGTGTCTCTCGGTTTCTACCGAAAAGGGGCCGGGAGTTCACGCACACAGTGCATTTTGCCATTTCCAAGCTACCGTAACCCATGCACCTCTGTCTGCTCGCTGTCCTTCCCGTAAGAGGTCTCTACCGGTTGGGTATTCTGCTCTGAGGAAAGTAGGATGTGCGTTCTGCTACCAAGAGACAACACGGCCACCACCTTGGCGTGCAGGCGTGATAAATGCCCGCCAGCCGTAATCGACCGACCGCTCGTCGAGTGAAATAACTTCACCGGTGAGCCTCTACGGCCACTACCGCCCGTAAGAAACCCGACTATCCAGGTAGGCAGAACATTGCTACCATTACCCTCCGTTACTACCAACGCCGGGGGTGCTAATCACCATCACAAAAATCTGTCACAAGCAGCAAAAGGCGCAGAGATCGTTAGCGACGCATATGAATATTCGTCCGCTGCAGACCAAACGTCCACCATGGACCGTAAAAAAAGCGCACTTCTGAAATACGACTCCCGAGACGGAGGCGTCTTTGACTCAAAAATTCCCATACGAAGGCCTATCAAAGAAGCTGCTCAACTAGGAGGCGTGTTCTTACAGATTCAACTCGCTCACTAAAAGTGCTCTGTTAATATGTCCGTCGTCTATAAAATCTATTTCTTCTTTATACTTCTTCTTAATATATATAGATATGTACATATATATCTTTCTTGAAAGTCTGTGATTTATTATTTTTCCTATACAGGATAATTTTATACACGACGGACATAGTAATAGCAGATTTGGCAAATGTAAATAACTTTAACTCTGGCGTAATTCAATTAAAATAAATTTTAAACGATAGAGCAAAATCTCTAATGAATTAATCAACAAGCAGAATTCGGCGGTCGCTTATAGTTTTCGAGAAAAAAATATTTAAACCTTGTTATTTTTACTAAGATATCCATTTTATTTATTTGAATTCAAAAACTCAATACACAGTTCTGCCAACATGATAAATATAGGAAGCGGGCGACATCATACTCGTATCGATAGTCCGATTTTTTTTTAATTTAATGAGTCACAACCGACACAGAGCGAATCCGACTCGGATTGATTAGGTTAAAAGGTTTTCGGATAGATTAGGTTAAGCTCCGCTCCCGCCTTAACCTTCGAGGTTAGGTTTTTTTTTATGACCACCAAGAAATACGAGCAGAATTGACATATTGACAACAAAAAAATGGCGGATTTCTATAGTAAAAATCACACTATTTCATTATTTTTTCGAAAACTATAAGCGACCGCCGAATTCTGCTTGTTGATAAATTCATTAGTGATTTTTCTCTATCGTTTAAAATTTATTTTAATTGAATAACGCCGGAGTTAAAGTTATTTACGTTTACCGCAGATTTTTCCTAACCCTTTTCATTTATATAGCAAAACAAAAAAAATCTAAATCATAACTCAATGACGGCTGACGCTGTCAATGTTCAAACCCAAAGACTATAAAAAGGAGTAGTAGGTATCTAAAGAATTAAAGATGTCAAACTTTAAAAATGGTTGTCAGGCGGACAACGTAAACAGAAGTTCCATCTAGGATTTTGTAAGATAATAATCATGACTAGTCGAAATCCTAATACATTAATGAGCGTTCCTGATGAACAATTTGATTATCTATTCAAAATTGTGCTCATTGGTGACTGTGGTACAGGCAAAACTTGTATTGTGCAACGACTTAAATCTGGGAATTTCATAGAAAGACACGGAAATACAATAGGCGTAGACTTTTCTATGAAAACATTAATTGTCGATGGAAAGAAGGTCAAGGTTTGTATCATAAATAATATATCATCTAGCATTATTAATACTACAATTTTTAAACTTTATTAGTAGTAACATCTTTGTTATAGCTTCAGATATGGGATACGGCAGGACAGGAGCGTTTCAGAACAATTACGCAAAGTTATTATCGCTCTGCGAACGGAGTAATTATAGGTATGTTCATGAGCAAAGGATTATAATTATAATTTTTTTTTTGTGGAGCTTAAAATGTACACCCATATCTAAATGTTTCAAAATATTATTAACCAGGAATTAAAGGAAAATATAAATGCTATCATATGACCTGAAATAAAACCACATAACATATTTAAAATTGAATTCAAAAATATTTGAATTCAATTTTTTTTTTCAAACTAAGTTATTTATCTATTACTATGTTAACTTCTGTGCATATTTGTATGTTCATGTCTAATTAACACAAAAATTCCTTTTTAACATAAAAAAAGAGCTTTAATCTATTTCAATCTTTATTTTTAGTTTATGATATAACAAAAAGGTCAACATTCTTATCCCTACAAAAGTGGATTGAAGAAGTTCGAAGGTATACTTCATCAAATGTTATTGTCTCCCTGATTGGTAATAAGTGTGATCTAACAGATCAAAGGGAAGTAGAACCTGATGAGCCAAAGTCATTTTGTCGCTATGTTCCTGAAATTATGTTTGTAATGGAGACATCTGCTAAAGACAATACTAATGTTGAAGACACATTCCGGAGTTTGGCTACAGAGTTGAAGGTAGGACATTTTTTATTGTGTATAGTCACTGTGTATGTGAATTATAAAATAATAAAATAAGTTACCAATTTACATTATTCTTTTAACTCTTTCCCAAGTACTGTTTCGGATTATATTTGATTACTTTTCAATATGTCACATTATTCTTCTGAACCATCATCCATTATTGAATGATTTTGGAAAAAAACACCTCAAATTTAATTTAGCTTAAATTATAAAATTTATATTTCTTCCGTTTTTAATTATCAAGTTTTTTTATTTTATTACTTTATTTACAGAAAGTAGGGTCAAGTATTACACACATTTATTATTAGTCAGTGTTAAGTATCAATGTTTTTATACTAAATAAATTAATTACATTTTGTAATAACTTATGTGGCTATGCAGTGCGGTGAGCAAATTAAATTTGAATATGTTTTATCATCATCATCCTCCTGCCCTTATCCCTCCTAGGTGGGCTCAGCACAACATGTCAATCATGTTGTAAGCTGTTTTGGCTATGTTTTTTTACGGCCGCCAGCCTGACATCAACTCTCTTTCAAAAACAAATACCAAAATCTGGAAAATTTATCTGGTTGGCACACAAACGTTTGTCCCGTGTGAGAGTCAAACCCGCAACCGCCAACGCCGAAGTCAATAGCTTAGCAACAGCGCCACCGAATGTCATAAAACATATACATGTGTATATATTGCAATATTTTCTTCAATTTTTTAGAGGCAGCATGACAACAGTGAAGGTCCACCAGCTGAGCCCAACTCAGTAGTTTTAGGTGAGAGCCACTCTGTTGCCACATGTCAGCCTTGCCGTTCATCCTAAACCCTAATTAAGGTAATCAAATGGCTTTACAGATTCAAAAATAATGTAGATAGGATTTTCATAGAGGCAAAATCTATAGTTTTATCTTATGTATGATTCAGGGTCAACTTATGTTTTATGGCTATGAATAATATGTACATAATGCAATTTTGGAATAATGGTCACAAGTCATAAGCTTTATCATAAATTGAGATGTTATTTAAAGATACTTCATCACATGATTTAATTCTTTTCATATTGCTTAACATTAAATAAAAAAAATTATAAGAGATTTTTTTATAAATGTAGTGAATATACATATTTCTAATTTCTAGGTTAAATATTAAAACCTAGTAAGAGTGTCTTAAATTGTTTTATATTTAAAATATGTATATTTTGCATTCTTTGTTAACACACTATAACTTGTTCATCTATGTTTATAAAAAATATATAGATCATAGACTCAGTGGTGGATTTGTAGTCCTGGCCTCCCTAGGCCCCAGCCCATGTAATAAGTTCCAGCCAGAGTCCATCATATATCTTGTTATAATCATGGTTATTGGCCGCCCTAGGCACGGGCCTATTTTGCCTTAGGGGAAATCCGCCACTGCATAGGCTATTATAGCTAATGAGCAATTATTAAACAATAAGCAATATGGCACAACAAAACTGATACCATTAGCCTTTAGTTATATTCAAGGGTCATGAGAGCTTATTTTGTTTGAAAAGAGCTGTTATAACAGAAATTAAAGTAAGGAAGTAAAGTAAGCAATATTTCATGCACAAATAGGTGATGTATCTTTGTCAAACACTAGGACTAACATTTTTGGTTCCAAAAGTTAGTGTAGTCGGCATATGATGATTGGAAAGAATATTGCCATTAATTTTTATATAGCGAAATATACAGATATATGTTGTTATTAAACCACAACACACAGTGTTTTGTTTTTTTTTTTTTAAGTTTATTTGGAATCTCATTGGCAATCTTTTTTCCTCAACAAATTATTTGCCTCATAAGCTTTTTTATTGAAACTACTTTACAGCTCAATATAATACCAAAACATTTGTTTAATATGTGTACATGTTGTAAAAACATTTTATGACTCATAAAACTTTTCAAAATTAATAATAATAATTAAACAATTTTTTTAATCCTTTTTCTTTACCTTCATATTGATTTCAATTGCACAACACTAATTGTGATTTGTTAAAAAATTAATAAATTTCTTCAATATTTCCTTATATCTTTTTTGTCATGTATTTAACTCTAACAAATTGATTTATTTGATTAAAGTTGAACATTTTGAAATTGTTTTAATTGTAATACTTTTGGTATTGTACATAATTGTAAATATTTTGTTAATAACAACCGATAGAGACTGAGATAAGCCATATATGAAATGAAAAAATCATACAATAATAGTTAACCATTTTCCTTTTGTTAATCTGTCAATATGTTACTACACTGAATTGATAGATATTATATATGACATCGTATTTGTAAAACTAAAAAAGATGAACCAATTCAATTTTAACTTTAATTGTATTCTTATATTTTTATATGCTTATTTTACGTTCTATTCTTAATTAATATTGAACAACTTCATTAATTATAACAACATCACCATTTAATATAAGTTTTATATCATTCTTAATAACAAAGCTGTTTGGGTATACAATGAAATTCGTTTAATATTTTATTTGAACTTACAATTTCATTTAAAACCTTCAAAGTGTGAGTAGCATATTATCAAAAAGGTGCATTAAAGGATTGCAAGTACTTTGGATAACTAATGGCATTGTTGCAATTACTAAACATATTTATTAGTTCAAGGAATTGTAAATTACAAAACTGTTATGAACATAAAAAAGGCCTATAATAATACTCAATTAGAATTTTATGTGAAATGTTTAGTGTTAAGAAATTAGATTTATCATAAAAGGCACTCATTGTTTCCAAAATAGTAAGTTGTAATACCAAAATGTGTATGCTAATAAACCTAATGAATTTAATATAAACAATAGACTAACCAGATGGGTTTTACAACCTTTTTTGATTTTTTATAAATATACTTGTTTTTTATTTTTCTGTAAATAACAAACATGTTTTTGATTTGCCTTTATCGAAAATAATACTGTAGAAATACCAATGTCTATAATGTAATATTAAAGATCACAAATTAAATTCCTTTTTACGCGTAAAATTGGTAGTTTATATTTTTTTGCGTAAATCTATTTAAATTAAGTTAACACTCACCGTGGATCTTGTTCTTGTGATATTAATAATGTTTATGTTAGAACTTTATATATATTATATAAAAATGTGTTAGGAATATGTTTTCCGGTTAAACCAACGACGGATCTTGGTCACTAATAAATTTTTTATTTCGCATTGAAGAATAAAACCAGATATAACTATAGACTTGTTTGATTTGAAACATGATAATTTCTTGTATTTACGCAATTACACAATATAAATGAAAATAATTTTAACGGATTTATGGTGTTTATTTTTAATTTTAATTCCCGACGTTTCGAACCCTTTACAGCGTTCACGGTCACGGCATAGCAGTCTGTGCTGAATCCGTAAAAATTAGTTCCATTTATGACTTGAAACATTCAAAAGAAATTGACGGCGTGATTTTTCGTATCGCTGACAATTATGTCCAGCTGCTTCGTGACGTGGATGCCCGATATCCAGCCGAATCTGCCGGGCTCGGTGCCCAGTCTACCGAACACCCTCACCAGGTGCCCGTTCGGCTTGAACACCTGCACCCGGCAGTTGCCGGAGTCTCCGACCAGTATGAAGCCCATAGGGTCCACGGCGAGCACTTCGGGCTGCCGGAACTGGCCCTTCCTCTGCCCCAAGGAGCCGAATTCGAGGACCTTTCCCCTGTCCTGCTTGTTGTACACCTTGACGCGCCGGTTGCCGCTGTCCAGCACCACCACGCGGTCGCTGGTGAGCGCAACGGCGGTGGGCGCGTTGAGCTCCGTGCATAAGACCTCCTTGGTGGCCCAAACGCTGGCCGTGTTGAGCGGCTGCTGCTTGGCGGCAACACCTATCTGGTCCACGAACTTGCCGTCGGGCTGCAGAATCTGCGACGGGAATTTCGTGTGAACTAAAGTGAAGTATCGGCCTATACATGTCCCACCGCTGGGCAAAGACCTCCTCTGTACAAAGGGTATCAGGGCGTAGTCCACCACGCGGCCCCATTGCGGATTGACGGACTTCACATATCTTCGCAATAATTTTATTAATTATAATTTATTTTTTATTAATTATCAGCCTCAGCTAAAGGTGGTGGAACCACGCAGCAGCCTCGGCTGTTGCACGAATGGGCATGCTCGTCCGGGTAAGTACCCCAACCTCACAGAAGACCGGTGTCAAGTGGAAGTATAATACTTTCGGGTTTCGTCTGGTGAGTAAGGTGGCCGGAGCCCAGTTTTAAAAAGGTTGTCAGCACATCTGGAGCCCTAGGGTGTAGCCGATGTCCATGGGCGGCGGTATTCACTTAACATCAGGTGAACCGTCTGCTCGTTTGGCAACTTTTCACATAAAAAAAGTATTATTTCGAAAATATGCAGGTCTCCTTCACCGCCGAGCACGTGATAGTTCAGCACTTAATATTAACAATTTCATTGGTGCTGGCACCGGGGATCGAACTCAGGTTGCTCGAGTATATTGAATTAAAGGCGAGCGCCCGGACACTGAGATATCACGGCTCATATCGTGTGAAGTACCGAGGTTTATTGTGTATCAGTTTTTATGAATCGGCTGGCGCGGTCGCTTCGCTAGATTTCGGCGCCGCGGGTCGTAGGTTCGATTCCCAACCGAGATAGGGATACATATAACCATGAGATTATTGTTACTGAACTCTGTGTTGAATTTGTCTTTGTAAATCGTCCCTGCGACATAGTATTATTTTGTCCTACACTTTGTTTTTTTTTAAAAAGCATCTCACTTTTTTCCATCTTATAATGAACTAGCGGACCCGACAGTCGTTCGTACACGTCGTAAATGTGATAACAAATTTAAAGAAAAAAAGTGTGCACTTATGTACACGCGTTAGAAGTTATGTACTTCTTTGGCGTAACAAGATAAAAATTTTATCTTTCGCCTTATTCTACGTTTGTAGAAAAAACCTTAACAATAGAAAATAGGTATTTAAAATACATTGATAGTTTTATTATAACGCATTATCTAGTTACATAAAGTTTATTTAAATACCACAAAATATATATCGTGTATACGGTTGTCAGTTCTCACGCAAACATACGTAGATGTCTAGCTAACTTCAGGCAGTCGGTTTTTCGTGACGGTGTGCGCGCGCATCGTATAAATTTACTCTCATCATTTTTCCCTAACGCGCCAAAAGAGGTATAATTTCAATAATAAGAAAACATTTCGTAGTGAACGAATTGTGAATCCAAACCATTCGCGTATTCATTCACAATTGAACACACACAAAAAAATTATCAAGATCGGTCCAGCCGTTTAGGAGGACATCAGTCACATACACACGCACAGAAGTATCATAACTTATATATGAAAGATATGAGCGTGTTTTATAAATGTTACACAATATTAATTATTGATTCAAAACTGCCTTTTATAACTACGCAAATAACAGCTTGGAAAATTTTACTATTTGGGACTTCTTTCGGATGCTCTTTAAATTTGTCAAGAAACATAAAAGGAGTGAAAGTTGAAAACGCGATATTATTACGGGTCAACTGTTTTGGTGGCGCGTCATTACCGCGTACTTCGGTTATCGCATACGGATTGTTGGAAGTGAAATTTCTTTTATTACATTCGGATAAAGCGACCAAGAACGAATGGGGAATTTTTAATATTAAATGGTACAGGCGTCTTTGTTATATCTAGGTCTATGCATCGTTTTTCATTTCGTATTTTAGATTTTTTACCTACTTTTTTAGCGAGTGCCGTTATATAACTTTGGTATATACGGTTAGTACAACAAGCAGACAATGTCATTTAATGTCTGTCAGCCAAATGCGTGTTACAGTGCAAGTGATTAAATCGACGCACTACTGCAGCAGACCAGCAGTAATAGGGCATGGTCCTCCACGCGACCTCACTGCGATTGGCAGATAATATACAGTATACACGTATACCACATCTCCAAAACCTGAGCCAATAAACTGAACCTGAACCTTTAAAAAAAGTGATGAGAAGCGATAGTACATTAAATTTCCATTCATGCTTCTCTTCTGTGAGACCGTGGTACCTCCCCGGACGCGCACGCAATAACATAGTCATCTTGTAATAGCATAATTTATTTCGTGGCCCTACGCAGTGTCGGATTAAGCAAGAGCGGGGCCCGTTGCAAATTCTTTCAAACAACAACTAAGCCTCTGCTATGGGTTCTTAAGTATAAAGTGGTAGAAAAAAAAGGCTATTCACATACTTAATAAGTTTCACTAATTAAATTAAGCTCATGCGGAGAAGTGTAAAGAAGTAAAATGCGGAGCTCCTTTTCGCGCGGCTCGTAGCAATTGCTACTCCTGCTATGGGGTTAATCCGGCACTGGCCCTATGTTAAGGACTTGCTACTTATTTTTATGATTCGTTCATTATGAGTATATTTTTACCTGTATTCTATCATTTCCAGTGTCGACAACGTAAATAAGTTGTTGCGAATTGTCTGTCGCGATACCCTCCGGCGATCGGAACATGCCGTCGCGGCTGCCCTTTTGTCCAATAGACCTTAGGTACTCTCCGTCTTTTGAAAACACATGGATGCAGTGCTTCCATTTATCTGAAAATCAACAATATAGTATAAGTGTTTAATCAGATCGATTGAAGCCATAAAGGCTTGTATATACCCCTGAAGGGTAGTAACATTCGCGGATTTCAAATAACATCGAAATTATTAAGTCGAAAATGAGTAATGAATAACAATGAATACTGAAAAGAATTCGATTAATTTGAATAATAAAATCTGTAAATATATATATGCATGTATGTATACCTACAAACTGTTACCCGTAATTATAAGCAGATAAACACTCGTCAAGCTTATATAATATGTCCCACTGCTGGCCAAAGGCCTCATACGGGGTATTAGGGCATAGTCCACCACGTGACTCCGCCGCGAAACACTTTTTTTTTTAAAATGGCAACATATATTTACCGGTCACGTAAATCTCCCCGAGGCCCTTCAGGAACGCAATGTGCACGGGGCACAGCATCTCCTCGCAGGTGAGCCGCATCACCGTTTTGGCCTGCGACCTCTCCACCACCAGTACGCTGTGACTGTCCGTCGCGCAGATGTACAGGTGCTCGTTCCACGGGCCGATGCCGATGCCACAGGGGCGTGCCGTCTTGCGCCACACGTAATGCGGCGTGAAGTTTCTAGACCTGGAAGGCGCATTGCATTCGTTTACCGTGGCATCTCCTTTTATTGTACGCTCTTTTTTTATTGTTGCTCTTTCGGGCCTAGTAATAAGTACTTAAAAATTTACAATAGTAAAAACCCACTCCAGGTTTTCGAATTAGTTGTAGATAAGTACAAAATGCGCGGGAATTTAATAGGTTAAAGTTCGCATAAAAAGAAATTGAGTTGCAACGGTAATTAAAACTTGATGTTAACTGATATTAGGGATGATTTTGTCTATTTTTTTAAAACATTGTCCTGTGTACGATAACATTGCAAAGTGTTGTAAAGACTTTTACACAAATTTCACATTGCCTAGATAAGCAATTTTTTGGGTTACACTAAGACTTATACCACGTGGGATGAAACCCACGCCCCAGCGTCGAAACCAATTTAAATATATAATACCGTAACAATTGCACCACGAAGTCATATAATTATAGAGGATACAGATTAATGGATTCATCACACTTCGTTGCGTTTTTTTTCGTTTCCGTTGGAACTTGGAAGTAAAACGTATATAAAAGCACTCCCATTGTGCACAGCTATGTTGTGAACAAATATCAAATCAATCCATTTGCTAGTTATTTATGTTTGTTGACGCATACATACTAAATCTAAGTTTTTATAGATAAATAAGTACACAATAATAAATGTTGGCTTTACCTATAATACAACACTAAACTATCTTCGCTTTCCAGCGGGTTGTTCTGTTTAGCGTCTTCTGGTAGTGGATCATCTGATTCTGCGTCTAATGGGGTAGCGGTATCAGACTCTATGCAGAAGTTCTCCTTATCGAAGACGAAACTGTTCGCGTCCCATTTAGACACGTCTGTCAATAGTTGCAATGCGTTCTGGTGTAAGTTTATGAATGCCATCACCTGGGTAAACAGAAAATAAAAGTAGGATTAAAGTGCCAACTTACTAGAGTCAGTAAAATGTATGCAGCATTCGAAGTTGCCGGGTTGCCTGTTAATATCCTCAATAAAGTAAAAATAATGGATGTATTCAAAGAGATATAAAGTGAACATTGGATTAATATCTAAGGAAGTAACTAGTTAAACATAAAAGTATAGAAGGTCAGTTTTGGAATCGGGAGATTAGGCAATAGCAAAACGTTTTGTGTAGCATATATTTGGCAAACAAATATGAGTAATATGCTGTGCTAAAATTCTTAGTAATCTATGTATTATTTTTATCTTATCTAAAAGAATACAAGATACTTGAACGGCAGAGTTTATTATGAAATAAAATGTCATGACTCATTTTTTGTATGTTCTATTGACATAGAGTTATACACGCTGTAATATGTTAAAAATAACCAAAAACGTGCGAATAAATTAAAAATAGTGCAACGTATTAAGCGTTAGAAATATCAGGAAATATTGAAACTTCTGATGCTTTTAGTTATATCTTCGTTCTCAGCTTAATGACTTCAGACCCAATATCGGCTCCCTAAGTAGGTTTATAGCGTGAATAATTAACATTTGAAATTAAAAAAAAAATATAACACGACAAAAAAAACTATAACTTGAAAAATAATAATTAAAGACCATTTGTGTGTCACTGCAGTATGACGCCGCCGGAGCGTCTGATCTTGAACTAGAAGTGGGCGATACAAATCGTATCAGATATGAAAACTAGATATTAGTACAATATCTGAATATCGCTTAGTGGCTCGTTCAATATCTATGTATTTTATAATATCTGATATTTCCGAAATCTGATGTACCGTGCTCGCTCGCTATACCGACACGAATCGCAATATCATACGCGTTTGCCACAATATCTGATTTTTAAACAGATTTCGAGAGACAAAGCGCGTGAGATACAAATACTCAATAGTTAGAGAGGGACGGCAAGCAATGCACGATATCAGATTTCGAGCGACAAAGCGCGTGAGATACAAATATTACACTAGTTAGAGCAGTACGGCAAGCAAGGCACAATATCAGATTTTTAAACAGATATTATGAATAAGTTAAGTAATTTTGAATCTTAATGCCATGCAAATAAGATCCGTTTCAATTAAATACTAATCATGGTATCTACAACGATATTATTAAGTATATTTTTATTGTTTTGTTTAACCTTGAGCCGTAACGGGCGACAAAGCGCGCAGTTAGGTAATTTTGAATCTTAACAGCATGGAAAAAAAACATTTTTAGTTGCATTTAAATACGAATTACGGTATTAACGATGTCTTTAAATTTTGTTTAGCCTTGAGCTGGATTGCATTGGTACCTAGCACGTAATAGTAAGGGATGCCAACTTACTACTTAAGAATTTTGTGCCTAAATTAAGGAAGAAAATGGAAATTTTTTAGGAGGTAAATTTTTGGTGAATATTTTTATTAGTTAAATTTTATTCATATTTTTGGAAAAAAATAAAAGTACACAAAAAGAAAAATATAATTTATTAGTGCTGTGCTGCTTGGGTGGAAATCAGGTCAAGGCTTATGTGCTTTGTGTGTATATTTTAAATTCTTCCGCCCTAAGTTATAATACGGAATGTATTATTTCTTACACAAATTATAAAATTATTGTCACTCATGATTGCGTGTTCTAAGAATATGTTAAAGTCAATTATTAAGCGATATATAAGATGTTAAAATAAATCATTTTTATATAACTTCAATGTCTATTTTTAATGAAATTTTTAATTTAATCAGGTAATGTTTTAATTTTACCTTAATAGTATAAAAAAAATCGTGATTTTAAATTCAGTAAGTTTTTTGAATTTAGTCAATTTTAGTGGGTTTTCGAATTTATTTAGAAGTATTCTTTTTGAGCAGTTGGTTTCACTGGTAATAGCTTTAGTTATGTATAGTTATAATGATCGTCGAACAAGACTATCGACGAATAAAGTCAAACAGGTTTTTTTTTTAGAATTCAAGGTGGGACCGTAAAATATCTAGATATTAAAATACATAGTTTCGATATCTGATATTTGAAATCGAAATCTGATTCAGATACGGTACTCAGAAAAAGCGATACTACCCATCTCTATCTTGAACGAATAGGCAGGCACGAATATTTTTTTTACTATTCAAGAAATTCCGGTTTCCTCACGATGTTTTCCTTCACCGTTGAGTACATGATAACTCAGCACTTCATTGATGCTGGCACCGGGATTTAAACTCAGGTTGCTCGATTATATTGAATAAAAGCAAGCGCCGGGAAATTGACACTGAATTATCACGGCTACTATTACATACAATAAAGGTTAAAGGTGAAAATTGAAGAAAGAAACAATTTAGCATGTTCTCGCCGAATGCAACATGGAACCCATGACGTACACGCTCTTTGATTTACGATCGACGCCATGAACATTACACGCCTCTTATGTGAGCAGTGCGCTTTACCTTATCGTTGTCATCGAGGGTCTCCTTAGAGTTCATCGCTTTGATCGAAACTTCGCGTGCCTCCTCCAGCGAGGATTGCAGTGCTAGAGCGGACATGTCCCCCGACCTCTGCAGCTCAGATGCCTCGTTTAACAGGCTCGCTTTGGCTTCGAGTATCGCTGTGATCTTCTCCTCTGCCGCCATGTTTATCTGCTCCGTTATACGTTCGCAGCGGTCCTGGAATCATTGAGAAGTTTCACTCGTTCAATTATTTTACATTGTTCAGTTATTTCAACGAACGTTTTATTTTTTTACAACAATAACATGTCGGCGTCGAAGGTAACCCCGTGATGTTCCAAGACATCGGTTGGTCGAAAAGAGTTATTTTCCTAATCTGCTGTCCTGGTTAGCTCGGTTAAGTAGGTGGGTGTTGTGGGTGGATTTGATTGACGTCTATTCACCATTTGCGAAACCAATCGCTGTGACGATCGGTGACGCCTTGCGAGTCTTGTGGCCACAGAAGCTAAGAGGGAATAGCGCTGACCACCACGCGACCCCACTGAGGAAGGGTAAACTTTGCAAACCTTTAAAATAATTTCTTTATTGTTATTTCCTCACGGTGTGCCCTGAGCTGACCACGTGATGAACAGCACTTAAATTAATCGCGGAAAACATCCGTCATCATCATTTCAGCCTATTTGAGGCCACTGTATCTTGTATCTTGTATTAACTGATGTTTTTGCTTTCAGTCCCGAGACTATTAAAGCTTCATCTGACGCAGAACCAGTGGGCTAGCCAGAACCCACAGGTATGGGCCCTCCGCTGTGGGTAGGGCCGCGCATGTTCTCATGCGTGCGTTTAACTATGGTATGTCATCTAAGGGCCATCGAGGTTGCGGTTTGGACCGGGACCCCGATGGCCGTCGACTGTGTTTTTAGCTAAGCGGTGGCTCGGGGCGGTGAGAACCGCCCTGGAACGCGGGTGTACCGTGTGTACGCGTTGTGTTGGTCTCGCCGTGCTCGGAGGCGACGGCGAACTATTGTGTTTGTTGTTACACTAGCTGTGGGTGTACACCGAGTCCACTGTTGAACATAGGCCTCCCCCATAGACTGTCACGAAGCACGATCAGATGCAGGTGGCTCACACCTGCATCCATCGACTTCCCGCACATTTGCATATCCGTAATGAATAACAAAGGAAATTTTTTAAAAATGGATATGATAATTAAATAAGCCCATAATTAGATACTCGAATTTAAATATTCTAATTACATTTCAAATATTTCGACGAAGTTTGTCATATTAATTTTATCGTAAGCACCAGCAAACGCTGCAACGATAATCAATTAATGAAATAATAGAAATTGGATTAATATCTAACAAAGTAACTAGTAGAACATAAAAAAATTTAGTCAGTTTTGGAATCGGGAGATTACGCAATAGGAAAACGTTTTGTGTAGGATAGATTTGGCAAACAAATATGAGTACAATTTTGGCAAATAATATCTAAAATTCAATCTTGTTAATGAGCAAAATGTAAATGTAGTATTTAATTTAGATATATGTATAGAGAGACAGTATATTTAAATGACCAATTGATAACAATCTGTATCAATTGTATTTTCCGCTAGACACCAAGTGGGGCTCTGGAAAACTATAAAATTTTAGGGATAAATTCAATCCAAGTTCCAACAGACTTTTTTTACTTTCAAACAGACCACTAAATTCTTGTGTGCCCAAGGGCTTCTGGTACATACCGGTTACATACCTTGTAATGTTCAATTTTGTGCTCCAGTCGATTTGCTGCTGAGTCGAGCTGTTTCAGTATCGATCCAATCTGGGTTCGCATGTCCTCCAAATGCTGTGACCAGCATACTTTACAAAATTTCTACAAACGCATTACAAACAATCATTAGACGACCCCAATAAATCAAAGTTAATCTTTACATCAACAACTTTAATAAATTTTTAATCTTATCAATTGGTGACAGCAGTGATTGTCGGCGAGATACATAACAAATTAAACACATTAGGTTACGGAATAAATAAAAAATATCACGGTTATTCGACTGACGTATATAACTTTGTCTAATCCTCGTTTTTTTCTATGTTATTAATTGCCAAGCGAGCAGGCGGTTCACCCTATGTTAAGTGATTTCCGCCACCCATGGACATATAAAACACCCGACGGATTACAGATGTTGGCAACATTACAAATGTGGGCCCCGGTTACCTCACTCTGCAGACGAAATGGGAAAGTATAATAAATACTTTCACTACACTGATCTTCTGTGAGTCTGTGGTACTTACCTGGATGAACATGCCCAATTGTGCAACAGCCGATGCTGCTGCGTGACCCTATTTATATATATAGTTAATAATATAAATAGGAATTATTAAATTACGGCTTAACGGTTGTTAATTTATTACCATGTTACAGTTCTGGCAGCAATCTCTTAACGGGTAAGTATTAGTCATTTCTTTCTACCCTATTTTTTGTTGGAATTTTGAATATTAATAAAAATAAAAAACCGGTCATGTGCAAGTCGAGCTCGTACACCTAGGGTAGGTGAACCATATAAAAGATAGGTGAATCTTTTATACCGCCTTAATAAAATTGGTAAATAAACACCACCGATTTTCTCAGGAACAGGTGGACCTACCAAGTTGAAATTTATACCAGATACTATATCCCTTACTAGGTCTTCCTTCAGTCCCTACTAAGTGTATAAAGAACAAGTCTTTAAGTGAAAATTAAGGTAAAACAAAATAAAAACTGTTTTCGTGTCGTAAGGATGAAATATCATAGAACTGTTGTTGTAATGTGAAAAGCCTCAGTCTATCTCGTGGCCGTAGATTCTGGTGAAGTGTTCCAGGCTTCGAGACTTAAAAATTCAAAATTAAACGCCAAAAACGGAGTTACCGTGATGTAGTTTTTTAGCTTTAGTAACGCACACGCGCAAACATTATCTTGTCTTTAATGGAGTGGTATCGCTTGGAAGGGCTGCGTTAAGTGGCTTACCAATTTGCAGTGTTCGCATGTGTTCACGTCGCTGTTGTCGCACATGGAGCGGCAGTGGCAGCATCGTGAGCCCCCAGCGAAAAGATCCACGCTCTGCACCCCCACGCCCCCTACTGCGGGGGTAGTCGGTGGCGTCTCCGGCTTCCTCGGTTTCGCGGTACTGATGCCGACCATTTGGAGCAGCGTGTCGATGTACAGGTTCGACGGCAGATCGTCGACAAAACTCGGGCCCGTTACTTGGATTTTTGTATAGCATATGGGGCACTCGATTATTGGTTCGGCTGCAATTGTAAGGGACAAGTGAATTGAGGACACTTTATGCGTAAAGAATTGTCTCATATATCCGTACCATCCACGTAGACTGTGAGGCAAGCGAGGCAGAAAGTGTGTTGGCACGGTAACATTTTCGGGTTGTTCAGCACTTCCAGGCATAGGGGACATTGTACCAGCTCTTTGATACCTCCTGCAGATATCCTAGTTAACGATACAATCTCACTTTATTTTAGATATCCTAGTATGTATATTATTTGTAGTCATGTCCGACTGTGTGTTGAAAGTTGTAAACACTGTCATTTGGTATTACCTGCGATGCTAAAACATTTGATAAGATCTATACAGCAAAGAAATGCAGAATGATACGAGGCTGAAGTTAAATTGCTTCATTATAACAATTGCCAAGAATGTGATATCGCCATTTTAATATACGGAACATAGACAGAACGGGGGATTAAACAAAATAAATACCATTCCGAAATAGCTACAAATCTTAAAAAAGTTTTTCAAGTTTAAATAAAGAACATTAAATTAATCATTCTCTTCATGGATTAGGTCTATACTGATATAGCCATTTAGCCAACGATAGAACTCGCCTAATTTTGCTAACCGGAATTTAAAATTTATTACAATTCGACTCTATAGCTGTTAAATTATAAGTAAACAAATATGTTAACAATATTCATAACTGCACAAACTGTACATTAATCATATTATTGGCCCTATAAAACAAAAACTGGTTAGGTCAGTGATGAACAGTAAGGGACTAGGACTATAGAGAAATTGCGACTTTAAGGACGCGTATTCTTGTGTATTTGTGATATGATTTTTCTTTCCACCCATCCCATAAAGCTTCGTTGCTCTTAGAATTCTTAAGAAGCTCTAAAAGCTTCACTGCCTTATTTTACTAGTCCATTATACGGCAAAAAACTATTTATCTCGTTTTGCGTTTTCGTTTAAGCGTCCCAATTAATGAAATTTGAACTCTTAGAGTTTAAAATTCTAAGGTCATCGAAAAAATTTTGGCTGCTCAAATTAATCCGAAAGCTTGGATTTAAATTATTTTAATCGGTCACAAAATGGTCACATTTGTTCAAATAATTTAGATAAATCAATGTTATTTATTAATTAAAAATTAAAAAAAAATTAATTAAATCTAAATAAACATTTCCTGATTAGCACCTCGTGACCAATTCGAACCAGTTTTTATGAGTTCAAACTTCAGCCTCATGACAGTCATTTGTCTCTGGCGACCCCATTAACGACCCAAGATGAGACAGCTTGATTGATTCTATTTATATGAAATTTTTGCTCCTCAGACTATAGCAGTATTATTTATTCGATGATTGTTATGTCTGTTCAAGACTCAAAATAATATCTGATTAATCCTGTAAGATCGTGTTATTACATTTTTTTTGGGCTGGATAAGCCACTGTTGGCCTTAGGGGGGCCTTTACAGTTCCGACGGGCTTGAGGTGGCCTGGTGCACGGGGCGCCTAGCCTGAACCTCGGCGTATTATTACGCGTTATGGTGACTAAGCTGACGGTAGCAAGGGCTACCGGTGGAGCCTCGGCTCGGGCCGTCACGCTATTATTATCACCGGTTTAGGAGGCCGCCAAGCTCTTAGGGCGCTTTGGCGGACGCTCCATGGAGTGATCAGGCTCAAGGGTCACCGAGAGGGCCGGACCTCGGCTCGATCGGTAGCTATTATCTGACTGGCTCTTATTACATTAAGGCATATATTATATATACTATAAGGCATATAGTATCTATCCTATATCCCTCGGTACTATTTAGGTACAAGGAGTAGTAAGATATTACGGAATATATTCGTTTACATTACAATACCGAACAAAACGGGAACATTTACAAGACAGAGGAAGATTACCCAAATGTAAAGAAAATCTTTTTTTTTTAATACGTTTGACATAACTGATCCTTCTACGAATTTAATTAGGTACGTCAAAAATATTTTAGCTATGGCATAATCTTACTTGTATAGACGTTTTCCCAAAACCCTATAATGAAGAGTAAAAAACGGCGCGAACATAAATGTCGTAGCCTACATGAGCACAATGTTACATACAAATAATATTTCAATCACGTACCACACTCATTTTATATCTAAGGCACAAATATCTATTGTTCGACATTTGATATCCTCCTATTAATTTACATATATGTAAGTACACATTAATACTCCTCAGACGTGATTTCATTCACCACATGGGTATCGGTTTTTAGTAGATGTGATATTTATTGTAACTCTAAGACTAAACTATGCATTTGCTGTAGAGTCGATGTTACCTTTTTTTAATCACACAGACATTTCACGTCTGTGAAAATAACCGCACAAACAGAGCAGCTTTAGAGTTATGATGACAATCGCTTCAGTCAAAATTAGTTACCTTTTTTTATTTCTGGATTGTTTATGTTAATTCAAATTTTTTAAAAGATATATTTTTGTAACATCAATAATGAAGGGATTAAACGTTTAGCAAATAGTGTATCTTATCGAACTGGCAGCTTATACATTAGGACCTATAAATTGTAAAATTAGCACTTGTAAGGCAGAACATTTCAATAATTGTAATGATTACCGCACGAGCTCGTGTTGTATTGAACATTTATTCGTACTTTCTCTGCCTCTAGTTGTTAACCGATTTTCTTTTTACTTATTGTCTTTATGCACAAGCTTTAGTGAATTCATAAAAAAATGAAGCAGACAGATAGTTTTGTTCGCTAGTACTGACGTATAAATTGTATGATCTCAGATATACCCACAAGTTATTAAAATTTTTGAAAAAAAATGACCCTACGTTTTGATCAAATTTAAAATAATATTTGCGGTCGAATTTTTGCAACTACAAGGAAGGATTACACAGAACACAGTTATCACATAACTGCGTTTCCATAATTAAACTAAAATACTGCGATGCTCTCGTGGATTTACTCTCATACTGTAGTTCGTTGGTAAATATGCTTAACTTGGGCCTTACTTTCTGGGCTTCGAATCCGTTACCGCCGGGTTGACGGTTCGTTGTGCCACGGCGGGTGTGTTCTGCTTGAACAGTTGCGGGGTGTTTTGGGGTTGTGGCGTTGACGGCGGCGACGTTGCAGGGTAACCAGCTCCATATGCGGGGCTGTTCTTCTGACTGTTCCAACGTTTGAGCGCGAACAACGGCTTCTTCTTTACCTTCTCAGCCATTTTGTTAACCGGTTGCGCGTGCGGCAAACGAAACAAACTCTCGGGCGCATTACAGCGATTTTCTTTACGATTTTCTTATAAGTATTAGATTAGAACGGCGATTAGATATTCCGTAATCAACCAATTGCTTTCGCGTATCGCTATCTAAAGTATTGTAGCGTTAATAAATCGATAACCGATTGACCGAAAGTGAATATGTGAATGTCACAGCGTTCGTTTTTAATATTAACGAAATGCGGCGACCGACAATTTTTCTTTATTAGTCTCATCTTTTCTTTGAATCTTTCTTAAGTGGGAATTAAATAGGGTACGGTAAATGTTTAATGAAATAAAAGCTTTTCGTAGTTATTTTCTAAATAATAAAAACGGATACAAAATAATAGATAAATCTAGCCAATAAATAATATGAATACATACGCTCATAAACATGTTTGAAAAAGAAATAAAAATAGTTTTTATAATATTATCGTCTCTTTCTTCCAACAGCCTTAAAGATCATAAAAAATCTATCCTTTAACCTTTCAAAAAGTATTATTTTAGCCTCCAACTGTGGCATCATTTGACGATGAAATCTACCAAACTCGGGCAAGGAGGTCCTTAGCAATTGTATTTGTCACTTATGGCAGCATAACGTGTAAATTTTAAATAATCCCTTACCGTGTTCAGTTCTTCGCGCAAAAATAACATAAAAATACGACAGCTTGTATAAATTGAGTTTAACACTAACAAAGAATTTTTATCGATAATTCGCGCCAATTTATTGTAAGGATGTCACCGTTGTAAGCGCGGAAAAAAAGTAGGCTTCGAGGTTGCAATATTTTAGGGAGGATTATTGGCGGGATAACGGTTTTTGAAGACGCACCTAATGGCGCGAGAATTATTTAGACGCGAGTAGGATGTAACCGAGATTTAACATTCAAGATGTAACCGCCCCCCATGGACATTTACAATACCTGAGGGGTTGTAGATGAGTTGGCAACTTAAAAAAAAGCAATTGCCAGGGTGTCCTTTCCTGCTTAATCTCCTCCACTTTGTCCGATCTTCGACATCCTCATGGGTCAGTCCATTGGCTCTCATATCCTGCTTCACAATGTCCAGCCATCGCTTCCTTGGGCGGCCAAGAGGTCTAGCTCCCGGGACAGGCTTATCAAGGCATATCCTTCCGACATATTTTTCCGACCGGCGTGCGACATGGCCATACCATCTCAGGCGCCGCTCTTGGAGCTCCGCTACGTCACGGACCCCGAGACTGTCTCGAATGAATGTGTTACGTATGCGGTCAGCACGCGTGACACCGCACATCCATCTTAGCATCTTCATCTCCATGACGTGAAGGTCTTGAGTGTGCCGAGATAGCGCTGGCCAGCACTCGCTACCGTACAGAAGTACAGGTCGGATGATGCTCTTGTACACCTGTCCCTTGACCTTGGGCGGTATCCTGCGGAGACTATACGATGTGAAATCGACTAATCGTAAGGTGTAAGATGACACCGAAGGCCAGTGGCGGATTTTGCAGGCTAAGTCGACTAGAGACTAGACCGGCATATTTTACAGGGCGGCAAATTTACCCAAAAACGTTTGTCTTACAGAAATAAAGAAAAATATCATATATTATATGTATATAACTTAGAGAAAACGAGTCTTAAAAATTTAACGTAAATTAAATCTTTTAGTACTTGATTAATTTTATTTTCATTATTAAGCGGTTGGTTTAAAGGAAATTAAATAGAGATAGGTGGTACTGTTCGTATTATTTTTAAACTGTAAGTGCAATAAAATAATTGACAATGTTTACTGAATGTACATTATTTTGAGTTAGCTGGGTCTATATATTGGTTCAAATATTTTTATGGTACCTTATCAATATGATTGAGCTTCTTCGTCTTAGCTCAGAAGTATACCCAAAAACTATTATCCGTGTTATCTTCACTAAATCGTTGGTTGTAAAAATAATCTAGAAACTGAAACCCAAATTCAAAATCTTGCTAATAACGAGAAAAAGTTATGTAATGAAGGCGATAGAGCACAAAAACAAACATAGCAATTTTATTGACAGAATAAATGTTATTAATATTTATGTAATTGCGAACTAGGGTATCGAATTTCTGACGTCAATAGGGGCGGCAAGAATTGAAGAGACTATTGGCGTCGAATTTGTAAAACCGCCACTGCCGAAGGCACTTTCGCGTTAGAAAAGATGAAAGAATATTGGACACATTGCTACGCAATTAAATAAAACTCTAGATGCCTTCTCCTCTGTGGGACAAGTCATAGAGCCGAGATAATACCAACGGGCTCTTTTCTTTTGCGCAAACATGCGTGATTAGAACCGGAATCGAAATATCACCTGATGCATGTCTGTTTGGTCCCGCCAAAGAGGCATCGAGTAAAAAAAAAACGCAGCCCTGTACATGTCCCTGTTGGCCTAATCTGTACAGAGGGTATCAGATCATAGTCTACCACGCGACCCCACTGCGGATTGGCGGACTTCACATATCCTCGAAAAGTTTTTTTATTATTTCTAAAATATGCATGTTTCCTCAGCAATTTCACAATTTCATTGGTGCCGACAGCGGGGATTGAACACAGGTTGCTTAATATATATATTGAATTAAAGGCGAGCGCCAGACACTGCTAGTTATCTTCACTATCACCATAGCTAGTGAAGATAACTAGCATAGATAGTCGAAATACTGTTTATTTATTTACCATTTTAGACATATTTATTTTTATTTTATACTATCACAAAAGTTGCCTATGCATTGAGTGCATTATTTTTGTGTACTCATTGTATTTTCGCTCGTAGTTCACTGAGGTAAGTGTATTTTCAGACTTTTTTTTTTGTTATTTTACTGTTCGGACGTAAAAAACTGTTTGACGTTTTAAATGAAAAATTAAAAAGGTTTAACAACAGCTGCGACTCGACATCGGAGTGGATATCGACGTTAAGTAAAAGTTCAACGAGGGATGTTCTTAGTAACCGTGTCAAGTGGATACCATCCGGCAGATCAGGGTGAACAACTTTGCAAGGCACTTACGCTGCCAATTAAATCCTTATAGGCGAACTCACTATTGTCCGTTCTCTATTTCAGGATGCGTCCTTTATAGGTTTTTCACTTTTTCCTCAATTATTTTGTTTACGGTTAAGTTTAGCAGTGTCGTTACGTTGAAATAAATAAAGGGCGGACATGTAAGATATTGAATTAAGTTATTTCCGAAAGTAAAATATAAGTAAGAATATACGTCAAATCGTTATTTAGGTCAGAGAGAAAAGCTAAGTATATTATGATTTCATTGTTAATTGATAATGATGATAAGGCTGAAATCATTCATGGTGAAGATCTTAATAACAACGCCATTTTGAAAGCTGTATACTTGTCGGGTCTGGGATCAGGTACTACCCTTTCTTCACGAGGAATCTGAATTCTTCCCTTGGAGCTGACCAATAAAATTATTAATTGCAATTTTAATAAAAACATCGTGAGGAAACCTTCATATTTAAGAAGTAAATTATATAAAAAATTGTTAGAATATTATAAATGTTTCCAAATGAGACCTTTACACAACAATGGAACATAGTTATGTTATCTATACACGTACATAGTTATGTACGTGTATAGATAATATTATGTTTATGTGTGTAGAGGTTACTTACAATTCTTACAAATTAATGCTTAAACGCTGTGAAACTTTGCTGAAGAGTGCACTTTGTTCAAGCGTACATAGTTTAAACTGGCAGAGCCTATTCCCGGTTTTACGACATTTCTAATGCGCAAAATCGATAGGACACTATCTCGTTGCGATAGCAATATTTGAACGTGTGTTTCCCCTCATTCAATTACACCGTCCTATTTCAAAACGTACCATTCTTGTCATGACTAACATTTCCCCTTACGTCATTTTGAACATAACTTATAAAGAGTAGGCGCTTTTATAATTCATGATGATGAGTGTGATAAGCGGTAAGGTTGACATATCGTAAGTATTGTGTTTATATTTCTGTTTATATATTACCAGTTTCATTGGATAACAAATGGGAGATAAATAACAGATCGGAAACCGTTTGTGTTCTAATAAAACTGGCCATCGTTATTAACCGAGTTTTGCATTGTAAATTAGATGTCGCGTAAGTCAACGACCTGCTTAAAAACTAGACCGAACAAAAAAATATGAGCTCACTTATATCAATTCTAAGCATGTCTATTAATTAATCTGCAGTAAAAATTCTGTGAATATGTAAAAGTGGAGTGACAGAAAAAATGTAGCGGCCTACAAAAAATCAAAACTTTCATATTGATTTATTTATCTTGCTCCTATCTAATGATAGCATAGAGATAAATAGGTCAATTTAAAAGTATATATTTCATTATTCGTTAGACATTTGTATACATGGTAATACTTACATTTTTATATATAATTGTACAATAAAAAATATTAAGTAGTGATAGAGCAGACTGTAGTTTAAACTTATATATAAAAAAATTTCATGGTGAAATCAATTAAATATAGCTTTTTAGTGTTAAGTTACTGCCTCTACACAGCACACATATTAAAATATATTACTTTATTTACCTTCACTTTATTTAAATATATTAAATAAAAAATATAAGCTTTTAACTTTTTCTGTTAAAAGAGGAGTACCTAATACTCTGGTGTATTGTAGCCTTTTATTAATACATTTTTAACACCCAAACGGGATCTTTATACGTGATATTAGTTCAAACATAAATGTGAAAATATTAAATACAGCATTATTACGTTTCTGAACATCACAGGTGTATATCCTAGGCTTGACAACTGTAGAATATCTAGAACAGGAATTATGCTTTAAATGATAAACTTTCGTAACAGTTAAGTCTTAACAATTTCATTTTAAAATAACACATACATGAATAGAACAAACAATATACTGATATTATGTTGCTGAAAATGATTCATTATGTTGCTGAATCGACTGAAACTACTAATTTATGACGCATTTATTTATCATTATCAGTTTTCAGCCTCGATACTTTTTCCTTTATCAGATTTTGAACATTATTTGAGTTGTCACAACAACCATTACTCCTTGATATTATGCCGATATAACAAAAAATACGCTCATGTTATGTTATGGAAGACCTTTTAATAAATTTACGGTTACAAGGATAATATTAGAGAGCTACCTTAGCCATAAGCAATAGCATAGAATTATTCTTCACTCCAATTCTTGTCTTAAAAGTTCGAAAGTTCCTGTTTTTAGAGTACCCATAAACTTTACAATTGCACACACTTCTCATTTAATACAAATTGGCCGGTTCCCTTATCAGCTCGTTAGATCGCATCTATGACAAAATAAGACGTGATACGAATACAACACATGACCGCTTAATAGGGAAAATGAGCATTTAATATGCCCATTTAAATGGAAGGCACCTCAACAATTGTCATAAGGGAACGCGCTATCTGATATTTTTGAAATAAATACACAAAAACATTTACGAGTTGAGCTACGGGCCACTACTTAGCACCGGCCCAAGATAGTTCTACGTAAACAATGGCACGCATAATGTTTAGCGCGGAGACATTTCAACGGAAACATTACGTTTAGTTGTTATTAAAATGGTCGTATTTCAAGAAAGAAACCAACTAGGAAATCTGTGCCAGCGAGAACAAATAGGTCCTGTTGAGGCGCGTTTAAATCTCGAATGGTTTTCACCTTCTGGCATTTGGGTTAAATAGTTCATTATCACAACAATGCCGTCGTTAAATACATTATTTAAAGTAACTCAATCACATAGGCCATGCATGGGTTGAATGAAAGGTTTCTATGCAGATTTTAATGAATAATGCACTGAATAAATAACCCCTTGTTGTCAACGAGAGTGTTACGTTGTTACTAACATAAAACACTGGCAATGCCAGCTTACAGGTAATATTCGTAAATGCTTTCTCTAAAAACATTAGCATAAGTTTCACAGAAATACCTAGACGATTAAATACTATATTGTTTTTAATGTTCACGTTGTTTATTTATGACCATAAGCTATTTTGAAATTCACTTTGCTTTATAATATTATATACGCTTTATATTAGATTTTTTTCTTACATTAAATTGTTTAAAAATAATTTTGAACAAAAAATAACCGACTTCAAACAGGAAACTAAAAGCATTGTCAACACCTATACATTTGAGGATGGCCCTCGATTTCTCTGGAATGGCATCATCAGATCTGGGTTTCCTTATCATGGTACCACCCTTGGAATATCTCCTTTCCAACAAAAAAAGAATCATCAAAATCGGTTCATTAATGACGAAGTTCTCCCCGAACACACATAAAAATATATATGTATAGGTATACATATAAATATATATGTATAGGTATACGGTCGAATTGAGAAACCTCCTCCTTTTTTGAAGTCGGTTAATAATGATGATTACACAACTTACCAGAAACCAGATTATGTTGTTAGATGTGCTGCATTCCTCATATTTGAAAGTTCCATGACTATTTACCCCTATAGGTGTAGCACAAACAAGGTAAGAACAAGCGATTTACAAACTGGTTCATATAATTTATAGATTTTCAGATATCGAAAATCTAGTCTCTTGAGCATCGAGCAACTGACCATCGTTAGTATTTATAAGTTATTAATATCCTTAAGTCTCGTTATGAGTATGGCATTTCTGAAACAAAAGATAACGAAAATATTTAGAAGCGTATAAAATATATATTAACACATGTGATTCGGTGTAATATGTTTATAGGAAGTCCAGGTAAACTGCTCTCGGAGATTTACGTGACGCGATGACAGATTAACTTCAACATAACTAATTGGTGGACACGACTCAGGTGATATAATTGATCCGTAAACTTGAATATTTACCATCCGTTTGTATTGCGTATATAAATAACATTGCACATTAGAGAAATCTGACTGTTTAATATGGACCGCGGCATTTTTGCACTGATTTGGAGCCAAGAAACATTTATCAGATTCATGATACGTACTATGATAATGTCGAATGTTAGAAATAAATTACAAAATGACTTTGTTACATGATCGACGTTTCTACCCAATCTTCCTTCTCGGACTCGCTTCTGTTGCTGATTATTTTTCGAGGCTCGCGAGAGCTGTCCTCGCATGTAGGCGCGTTGCCCATTAAGAGATACAGCAGGAATAGGAACACCGCTAACCCAGTGGCCAACTGGCGAGGCGACGTCGAGCGATTACACCGCCCGAGCCACCATTCCGTACCGGTACCGCCGCGCCACCGCTCGCAGATAAGACGAGCCATTACGACCACGAACCCGCGCCGGGCATGCCTTAAGCCATGAGGGTCTTCCGCAGTCACCCCGCGCTGCGTCGAAACGCCGTTGCCCCGCGCGCAGGAAAGCGAGTGACGCGCCCCGCATCGTAATTAGCGAAGAGAGTTTTGGCGGCGAGCGAATACGGAGCCATCATCAATATTGTCGTGCCCCGAAGAAATTACTGACGCCACGCCACTACTCGGGGGCGAACGTGACGGCGCGAATTTGCAACGCGAATTTGCAACGGGGAAATCCGTCGCGTTTTATTCTTTTTCCGCTCGAAGGAGATCCGAAGCTTTATGAGGGTGCGTTTGTTATGCGCGAGCGCGGCCGAAAGTTTGCGAAATTTTGGCAAGGGTACAGCACTACACGTACACAGGGCATCCGCGAGCCTACTACATCCGGCGATGATCAACAGCGGAGGCCACTGCGTCCTCAGTGATTTATAGTGCGATTTACTTTACGGACATTTATGTTTGTGTTTTTTTCTTATCGTGTAAGCTCTCTAATAAGAAGGTAAGGTAATTTTCAATAAAAATATTTTGCTTATTGTATTGAATTGTTGATATTATGCCCGCATTTACATAATCGTGTAGACGATTATTTGAAGTATTTAATTAGGAATTATAAACCTGTTCACGTGTCTAGCAGTGACTAATAGACTTTATAGGCAATCTCGTATTGTGCCTCAAACTAGATCCAGTACTTAAGCATACCGCGTTTCCTTCGCACCAAAAAGTTTGCAAAAACACGGTTATTTCTAACGCCTTATCAAGTGAGCGTTTATATTTTTAATATCCAACTCAACTAAGGTTTAATCATTAGTACCGCTGATATTTACAAGATGTAAATACTACCTGAAAGTTTATTAAGCACTGAATAATTTTAAGTTGCCATAATATTTTTGAATGTTATAAATGTACGAAATATATCACGTCGAAATTTTTTTAAAGTCATAGTATTATTAAGATTTTCTATTTAACATTAGTTTATATATTATAAGAATATTGGCTTAATTCTTTAATTCAAATATCCGGCATCGTTTTGGAATGTAACTGCTCCGCCGCACATGTGTCTATGGTTTTTACCCTAGTCAAGTCCGAAGCTTAATTCGAAGAAATCATTGCGGCTTTTACAGCTACCTACTCCCGATGTACCAGTTCTTGAATAATGTTTTATTACCTTTATTATTATTTTTTTAGTTTCGCGAATTTACGAAAAATTTTAGTTCTTTTACGACATAGGTAAACTTTGGTTTGATTAATTGTGAACTTTAATAATCTTTTACATCATTTATTAAAGTTCACAACATTTACATATTATTTATTGAAGATCACAATTTCAATAAAACATCTCTCTAAGTTTCCGCATCTCTAGAAAATAACAATATTTATTCTACCTATATTTTGTTTTTCCATTTTTATAATCCGGTTTTTTTGCGTGGATGGCTAGAAGTGTTTATAAATTCTAAATACATTCTAATTTATGTAGATAATGTTAATTGCTTGTAAAGCACATTTATGAAATAGTAATATTATTAATCTGAAAGTTCGTTGACTGATCGCCGGTCAACTATACGATGTAAATATTAAATGTAATTGAGTAAAATTTAAAGAAAATATATACTATAGAATAAGACACAGTATCATGGTCTATTCCCATGACAATAAGCTATATCTAAAACAACGAGGTGGGTGAATTTGCGGCCAAATGTTTGGATGCTACATGTTCTTTCTTTTCTTTTTTATAAAAAAGATTTATTTGGAATATTGTTGTGTAAAATTGTTGTTTTACTACACATAGAATAATAGTAAACACATCACAGCCGTCATTAACAACGTATATTTATAATAATATATATATATTATATATTATTATATAAACATATAATATATATATTATTATAAACATTGTTCCAAGTTGATATATATTAATTATTAATTATAGATTAAATATCTAAAACTAATCTAAAACTAAACTATCTTTATTATATCTAATACTTACAACATTAAATTTAACAAAATTACATATTACGTAATAAACCTAATCCACGCGGCTTTGTGCCAAGAACGCTACCTGCATTTCTTCGCTAAATAGTTGTGCTTAATCTTTAAGCGAAAAAAGAACCAGCCTCAATCTTCACCAGCCGCGGAGATAAGCAATAACATAGCGGCCTAAGCAATGATCTTTTAATAAAGATGATGCATGTCCATACTGCTCGGCGTGTAAAAATTGTTGCACTTTAAATTACAGTATATACATAGAGTCTATAGAATTGCAATCTAATTAAGTACCTACAAAAATTGACGTCATTTGAGTGCCTCGGTTTCGGATAAAAAAATATTAGTGAGGATTTTCGATGAATTATGATAAATCCACAGAAATTAAACCGTTGTCGTTAAGCAGTATTATAAGACGTTACCTACGTTTTGCATTTCTGTCGAGTAACAACCTCCGCGATTTATATTCGTGGAATTTTCAAATGCATTCTTATTCCGGGTAAAAGCGTTTTCACCTAAAAAAGAACAATGCAGCTGTCGAATTTGTACAAAAGAAAAAAAATGTGAAAACGACGTATGCAAATATTGCGCTGTCAAATAACCGCAGTTGTAAATCGGGCCGACCCCGTACGGAGCCGCACGGTGCGCGACTCCAATGCCATAAACCGACCCGCAAGTTAAAACAATAACGCATTTGGCCGAGATGAAATGGCGCGATTCGTCGCGCAGTGTCAGTTTTCATGCGTTCACAATGAACACTCAGCGTCTAGATTTTCCACGTGACCCACAAGTGAGCCTCGATCTGTTTCGATAGTTCTCGGGCAGAGCTGAGTGTGAAATGACGCATTCAATGCGCTTTAAAAATACCAACCGTGATAGGAAAATATTAGCTTCTTTAATTTAGAAAATCAATTAGGTGCTAAAAACGAAATTACAACGAATATGATGCATGTTACGAGTATATAATAGTAGGTGGAAAGCACTTACTATTTTGATTGACGTTGACATTTAATACAGGCTTGAATTGTGAAGAATCAACATTTTAATAAATAGTGAACGCAAATAAAAACATTGTTCTATTTGCGTTCACTGGTTACCCAGCATCATGTCGCTTTTTGAGGGTCGGTGTACGCACGCATCGTAAAAATCATAGTTTCATAGCTTTTCAAGCGAATACTCCTTTGCTCTTGGTCGAATCACCGAATATTCCATTCGGTGATTCGACCAAGAGCGTGGCCGAATAATCGTTATTCGTCAAAATCATAATTCATGACATCCTTAGTGAGAACATTCTATGAAAAACGACCTAGAAAGGAAAAATAGCAAAAATAAAGGGCGTCCTGCTGAAACTCCAATTAAAGACAATATCGTTGTTGTTGGTAAAACTTCTGCTTCAAAAACAATCTCATCGCTGATCGACAAAGCAGAGGCATTGGGGCAACGCTAATCCCAATATTAAAAACTAGCCTAAATTTTAGAGTGAAATTATTTTCTAATGGTGGCGCATATTATTATTGTTATTGATAATATTTTATACTTAACCAAAAGTTCGTTTGTTAAGACTATTCCATAAAGACATTGAGAAGAAAAATATAATATACAACACGAAAATGTATGTATGTACGCTGCCGCGCTGTATAAAGGTCGTCTCTAATAAATAAATCATTTTACTTTCGTCCAAAAGGGTGTTTCATGTTTTTTTCAAATGAGAAAGCTAGTGTCGTATTGCATACAAAACGATTGCGTGATTACAATCGGGAACAAATCGATACTTTATCGATTCTCAAGTCGCTGTCCGCAGTGTTTCGATTCGGAAATGCGCTTCATGAATGATAATTAGACCCAAGACATTCGCTGGGCTGATGAAGAGGAATTTTAAAATTTATGTTATTATTCAGAAAAAAGATTCCAAAACGAGTACGTGATAAGTAATATCACGGGCGGCAGTTACCAAGCCAAGCTTCAGCGCCGGAGGTCGTGAGTTTGATTTAAAAAATACAAGTCACTGTCTCTTCAATCCGCATGACGGCGCCGAAAATATTTTACGCTAAATACTTTAACTTAGAAAAAAGTATTGCCTTACTATACGAAACACGCATACTAAACATATTTTTTTCTTTATACTAATGTAGAAGGTTATTATATAAAACAGCATAACTATTCGCCAAAATAACATGTAGTCTTAGTTTAAAGTATCGTTCAGGAAATCTTGGTTTCATGTTAGCGGGAAAATGGTACACAGTAATAATAGTAATTTTAGTGTTATTTGTTAAATAACTTCGCTGTACTTGGTCAATGGCAATATAGCGTTATTTAAACTCTTTTCACTGTTATGTGTTAGATTAGTAGATAGTTTTAAACCGAAGTTAACCAAACTTAAAAACAACGTGAATCATCACATAGCAGCATCCATGCTGGTAGCATTTTATTGACATATTTTTTAAGTCACAAGACAGTACAGCGATAACCTTTGTTTGTGTCTTTGGTCGTACTTAAAACATACAGTTGCGTTTTTTTTGGGCAAATAAAATAAAATGATTAACAATTCTAATTTATACATAGAATGTTCATTATAAACATAAAACTTAACAAAATAAATAAATAACTTGATCGCTCAAACCGAATTTACTTTTATTGGTTGGTAACAAAGATTGTAAACATCTTTTATATAAAATTAATATATAATGTTAAAAAATTTACATTATTAATAATTTAGTTATAAATATTTATCTTCCGCCTGTGCGGAGGAATTTTAAAGAAAAACAATATTTTGTAACGACCCGTGTAATTAAGTATAATTACACTGGTTGTTGATTCCTCACCCAGGGGTTTGAATCCCAGTAGTTTGCCCAGCAGCAGTTTTTTTTTTAATTATACACAGAATCTTTACTAATATTATAAAGGCGAAAGTTTGTATGTATGGATGGATGTTTGTTACTCTTTCACGCAAATACTACTGAATGGATTTTAATGAAACTTTACAATAATATGGCTTATACATCAGAATAAGACATAGGCTATAATTTATATACATATTTTATGTACATCTGTATTTCTGTCTGAATGTTACGCTTTCAGCCTATTCTACACAGACGTAGTCGCGGTTAGCAGCAAGTATAGAAATAATCTCTCAATTTAACGTTAGGACAAAATGGTTTCGGTAAAAATAGATCAACTGAAAATATCTATGTCGTTTGTTTTATACAATACGATATGAGAAAATGTTTTACTATATCCTTGAGTACATTGTATCAAGACCCGTCTTTCAGGCGGATTCAAAATACATATATTGTCAACATAAGGAGTGCCGTTGTCACCATCACAACACTTATAATAATCGCGCAACGTCGTCATATACGTTGATTTAATATCGATTGTCGCGCGAGACCGGTTCGTCCGTGACCTGCAGATCTGAACTGGAATATTATGCGGGTGCAGGCAACAAACTCACTTGACCTGTAATACATAAAAGTCGGCCAAGTTAACAGGTTTGATCCTTGCCGCAGTGGATGGCATTCCTCGTCAGACGGCTCACAATTTTTATTGACTTGCAAATGCGTTAGACTCTTATTAAGGCTGTCTACTACTTTTAGAAAATCATTGTGCATAATAATAGCTTATACAAACTGGACCACATTTTAAACTTCGAAAGTACACGAACTAATGACAGGTCGACTTCAATTTAATGGTTAATGCAACAACATGAAAGCTTACTTCTATTTTCAAATTAACCGAAGCTTTCAAGGCAAATAGTAAAATCAATCATTATTATAAATGTAATTTATTATCGTAGATCTTTAGAAATTCCTCTGCACAAGGTGTTATAATTTCATAGTAAATTGGTGGCATATTTTCGTAAACCGATTTAACACCTGTTGCTATTATTTCTAAAGTAAAATGAACCATATCTATTGTTTCAATATCAATAGGAAAGTCTGAAGAGCATGTCGTAATTTGAAATTTCGTACTTGATTCGGGTAGTACAGAAGCTGTCATAGGAGTAATGCGGATTAAGTTTTTCATCACAGGTGGATATTTAATCTTGATTTTTGCGGTGAATACTCTGTGCATATTTTTTACAACGAAATAATCTACGCAAACGCCATGAATGATTTGTGCATTACCCATATCCAAAATTATCGGATTTATTTTTATCGGATGAGGCAAAATTTCACCGTAAACTTTGATAGTTTTGGTTTTAACTATATGGTCCGTGATAACGTCACGGAGTTCTACGTCGCAGTAACGTTGATGATAGCCTATATTTTCACTCTTACTGAAAAATACTGATATAACTCGTTTTGCATTTGGCGGTAAACGAAAGTTGGTACAGTCGAATATAAATATATCCAAAGCAATATCGACAATATCCTGAATTACGGATGTAATAAAATCCTCATCGCTTTTGTCCTCGCTTTGATTATTAGTAGTAGATGTGGATGTAGACAAAGTATTTATGCTGTTCATTTGTTCATCATTTTCATTTCTATCCATCACACTACCGGTACTCGGAGCGATAGGCTGAATTGACGTGTACGATGTACCTTCTGTTAAATATCTTCTTAGCTTACTAATTCTTAAATCATAGCCTTTGTCATTTTTATTTTCAACTATCACAGTACTGCGAGGGTGTCCAGATTTAAAATTTAAATGCCATTCGTACACTGGTTGAATCGAGACAACTTTAGATAAATTTATATCAATCGACTTAATGAATTTCGTCAAAACGGGTACGCACAGTTTTGTTACATGGATTTCGTTCGATGCCTTATGTTGCACTTTAAACAAAAGATTGGTTGTAAAATCTACTTTTGTTTGAATAAGTTTGAAAAGAAATCGGTATGCGATTGTCAAACCAGGAAACAATTTTGACGTCACTTGGGGTAGAACTGTAGCCTTTTTAAATAGCTTGCGGTTTGTCATATTATTAAATTTCACCGTTAAACAGTAAGTTGAAACATTCTTTAATGAGAAATTAACACATTGCTCTTCGAAGGTATCACTTGAAATAATAACCTTTTTGGGGTAACATTTAATTAGATTAAAATTAATGTATTCACTTTCCTTTTCATTGGAGTCGATTTTTTCCATTAAGCCGGAAGATAGTGCGGAATGATGACTGAGATCACTGTATTGAGAGCCAAGTGGCGACAGTAATTTATGTTGATTAGATAAATTGAGACCTATATTAAAAGTATTAGGATTTGTTTCTATTTCGTCGTTCCCTTTCATGTTCTCCAAAACATTTTCGTCCACTGCTTCATCTTGAAGAGACAAATCACTCGTTTTTGTCGTGTCCACGGAGTTTTTTAACGAAGGCTCAGGAACAAGGTTGTTTTTGCTATGAGATCTTCGATCTTGACTTACCTGATTTATTTTGTGCCAAATATTAGCAGTTCTTGAAAGTTGATTAGTCAGTTCAAATGGTGATTGCCTAGCAGTTTCTACATAAAGCTTATTAATGATATATAATTCTCGCAAGTAAACTTCTTGAAGTTTGCGGTCGTAATATGTTGTCGCCATATGCAGTTTTTTTATAAGGTCTCTCCAATTTGGAAATCTTTTGAAATTTATCCTGAACTGAGTTTCAATGAAATTTATAAATTTTTCCACATCCATGTCACATTCACCATTCGTCATACGAATATGTTTGCATTTATTTCTTTTCATTTTAAAAATTGTTTGATTGTTATCAAAAACGTAAAAAGCAAAACTAAACACAAAGAAAGAATGTAAGAAAGCAGTAAATGTAAAGACTGAAAAAATGTACAAATCCAATTTCCCTATGACATTGAACGTCAATGGGCAGGGATTTACTTTAAAACGTTCCTTCACACGTTGTAATTTTTTATAATATTAGCAAACGAGACTGAAAGTCAGTTCATTGTAGTTTCAAATTTCCAACATTCGATTTTATACTTTATAATTTTTATAGGATTTACGTTTCCATAGACTTTCCTAAAGCCTAAGCTACATTTTATTTTATCATCATAGATTTCACATTTTGTTACAGGTACAGAATGGAGGCGACAGTACCCCGTGTGCTGATCAGCATAGCGCTTGCAGCTCTCCTGCCGATTGCGTCAACGAACCAGGATCAAATAGCCAAAGAGAATATTCCCCATTCGAGGCAGAAAAGGATACTCTGGATTACGAATGACGGACGTCTGGCACTACCACCTGGAACGACGATGGCCATAACACCGTCATTGTCAATGCCATTCGTGAGGCATCCTCCAAAGGGCTTCTTGTCCAATATGACTGTTAGCTTTCCGTTCACAAGTTAGTTCACTTTTATATTTTATATTGAATTGAATAAATAGGAACCAGCATCAGCTAAAGTTTATTTTTAGTCATCAACGTATTTATTGAATGGGTTCATTTAATAATTTCGCAGGTACACTGATGTACCAACTGAGCATCCAAAGTCAGTGCACATTGTCAGGTTTTATGTTATAGTTGTAGCGATCGCTTCTCTATAGTAACGAGTAGATTAGATTATGAGTAACTAACTACCTAAGCATATAGTATTCGTTTTTAGTTCGTGTCCTTAGTTAACTCATTTTAATTTGTATTCTTAAGAATACGATAATGGGAAATTACTGTAGTTATGGCGCTGTATTAGATTTAGTATGGGCTCAAAACATACTAACAAACAGGATAAGATGCAAATAAAATGGAAATAAAAACTGGTCTGATTAGACTGACGTGCTTAAGACCAATAATGTTTAGGTTTTCTATTCATATAATGTTATTATAAATTAGCTTCATCCTTATACGAGCACATCTATGACTTGAAATATTTCCTTGTATAAACTTTATATCCTTTAAATGCACTTTATTTTATAATTTGTTCATGTGAAACATGACATCGTATACTTTTTCTCGTAATTTTTTCTCTTAAATGACATTACTTTTATTTTTCTTTCCCAATATTTTAACTTTTTCGATAAGTAGACCTTGAGATACCGATGAGGTGACAGAAGATTAGGCAGAAACGCAAATGGTCTTCAATCCTTATTGAATCTTGCATACAAAATAAAGAAAAATGTAAGAAATTATACCTACTACACTGTAATAACGATAGATCTCTGTTACTCAGCTAAGAAATTACCACTGATTACTCTGAAGGTACCGTAGTAGCGTTGAGTGTGCTTCATGTTATATTGCCATTACGCAAATTATTATAAATAATAACGTCAACAAGAAAGGCAAGCAACAGCGAAGGTTGAGGAATTTATTACGGGTAATCTTAAATACAGGTTTTTGCGTATTGTATTTTAAGGTACTGAAAAGTTTAATGTGCTAAAATTTAATACTTTCTACTAATTTAGAGTCGATCTTGAGGTAGGAATCAGGAATCTTGAGAAGGTTCGATGAAGTCGGAATATCTCATTCACTCATGAAATATATATATTGTTCAATAACTACTACGCACTTTACCTTTCATGTTATTTGAACGTTAGTAGTAGCTAAGGTGTAAAGAATAAGACTTGTAAATGTAATAAACAAAAATTGGTAGATAGATACGTAGTGTACTTAGTGTATTTAGTACTCTAACCTTAAAAGTAGATTGTTAGAGTCTAATTTCCTGTATTTACGTATATATCACACATTGTTAAATAAAATTATTTTAAGCTATTGAATTCACGATTCGCATTCCATTCTTAAATAAAACTATGTTATGTCACTTGTATTACAGACGTTGCGAAGGCCGCTTCGGTAAAATGGTTTTATTTAACAATTCGTCACTATTGTATCTTCTTCACTGTACTCCTTTTTAAAGACTATAATGCAAAATTCAACGTTTTCTAGTCGATTTCGACAAATTGGGATTGACGGACAACGAGAACCCGTACGGGGACCTGCCTCCGATCTTCGCGCGCTCAATGGGCGGCGCCGCTGCGTCTGTAATGGCGAACTACATCGGCCACTATTTGGACAATCGCCGCGGGAAGAGATCTACGCGCCAGCAAATACCGCCTGAGTTGGAGGCAGCGGTCCTTGAGAGATTTCACGGTGGAGAAAGGTGGGATTCTAATTGGAATATAATTTTTTTTATGTGAAAAGTTGCCAAGCGAGCAGACGGTTCACCTGATGTTAAGTGAATGGACATCCGCTACACCCAAGGGTTCCATGCGTTGGCAACATTTTGAAAATTGGGCATATGTCACTTTTATTTTTTCAAGCAAAAAGCTTGGTGGTGGAAGTGACATCACCATCTTTGTTATTTCATGCTGACTGGCTTTACAAGTATCTCATTGGAACAAGGGACTTCGTGGCATAAAACTACGATTTATCGTACAAGACTCTCCGCGTGAATATCATAAGCGGTAGTAACTTTCACCCCGTACCAATTATGTATATCAAAATTCTACTCACGGCTACCGGCTGGTAACCAGTGAAGGATGTGCTTTTACAACGGTCGCTTTAAATTCGTACCTAGCTGCGAACAATGGACAATATTACGTAACTGACATTAATTATTTAGAATCGTGCTCAACGGATTTCGGTTTAATAGAAAACGAAAGTGCAAGTTTCCTGCTTTAAAACAAATTGTTTTATGTAACAAAAAGTTACTAGATCGATAAATTAAAAGAAATATGCTAACTGATTAGATCGGATTATTGAAAAATTTATAGTAAACTAGCTGACCCGGCAAACGTTGTTTTGCCATATAAATTATTTGTAGGGTAGAAAAAAATGTTTGGGGTGGACCACCCTTAACATTTTGTGGGATTAAAAATAGATGTTGTCCGATTCTCCACCCTGGCCGCTAAGATTCACGAAAATCGGTCCAGCCGTTTCGGAGGAGTTCAATTACAAACACCGTGACACGAGAATTTTATATATTAGATATGCTCTTATATTCTCTATACTCTCGTTTGTATACGCTCTATACTCTTGTTTGTTTTTTAAACATAATTTATTTTGTAGAGCCTTAATGTATGGCATAGCCGAGGACCTCATTGCCAACTTTGGCCTATCTGGAAAGGAGTGTCTCCTGCGCGCTATTTGCGAAATCCATGCGCACCCGCTGACTAACTTTGGATTTCTGGGGGAAGTTATGAAACTATTCTTTAGGTAAGTAAAGTTATATGTTGCTTCTTTCTAATAGTTTGTTTTCCAACTGTTATATAATCAGGTCACAGATATTGGGGCCGATGGCTCGCGTGCTTACAATGAGTCTCCGGTTTTGTCATTTTCTTAAGTGCACAACTCATTGTCCGACAATTATTCTCAGTGTACAGCGACAGGCTTAACTGTTACGCTGGGGTTACTGAGTGCGGAGAAACTACGAAGAGTATTCTTGAGGTTCAGGTTTAAAGAATATGTGTTAAAATTCGACTTGACCTGTTTAAAATTGTAAGAAATAAACAATTTAGTTAATGTTTCATTGACGAGGCAGTTATTGTTTTTTTCTTTAAGTTATACTTAGGTACATATTAACGTTCTAAATATCGGAATACATCAGGTGCTTTTACGTATAAGCTTTAAAATCAGATATCATAAATGTGAGTTTCATTTCAAGCGTATTGAGGAAGTATATCCAAAGAAAGATTCGTATATCTATTCTTATAAATAGAAGTGAGTGTTGGTATGCTCGCCCCAGAAATTATTGTAAACAGTTTTTTCTTTCTGTGATACTGAATACATGTCAGATACAATAAAATAATTATAAATATAATTAACGGGTTATGTGACGCATAATTGACATTTATTGCATTATTTCTAAATAAAAGGTAGTAATTGTAATATGTCATTTACATTATTACAGTCCAAGTAAGTCCCCATATTCGACTCTGCTAGAAGAATACGTGGAGGCTCAACGGGCTGGAGAGAGCGGTGGCGAGTGTTGGCCTTACTACCGTTTGTGCCCTAAAAGTATATTCCAGCCATCATCAGCTAACAAATATTCGTAAGTGACTTTATTAATGCAAAAAAAAAACAATTGAGGTAAATACGTAGAGAATTTCGTCAATGTGGCAATCAGCCGTTCAGCTTAGTGATTGAAGCATCTAGGCGCGAATCCGGAAGACGTCTGTTCGATTAGAGTAGCGGAGAAATTTTTTCGTCCATCTTTTTTTTCTAAAAATATTAATGTTACTTCCTTTTTACTGCACTGTGTGCTGTTTGTAAGTGAAGCTGTTAAGTGATGTGTGACCGATTTAAAAACACAAAATAAATTTAGAATACAGCAAGTATTCATACTGGTATAAATAATGACAAACATGGCATTGTAAGTAGGTACAAAAGCTTTTGAAGAATAAAGACTCGTAAAAACATGTTTACGCGAAAATATTTAGGACAGTAAAACACTTTGACGTCATCGCTGCATCTGTTCTGTGAAAACATTAAAACCAGCTTTGGGTTAAGGTCAAAGTTGCATCACGTTTTCCAAAACCTAATACAAAATAATAGAATAAATATGTTGCCATAATTGTGTAACATATCCACCATTTTCTGTAGAGGTACAAAGTGCAGAGTAATGTAGGAAAAGCTTTTTTCAAGTAAACTCTAAAAAAAGCTTTTTAATAATAACGCAGAAATATTATTATTACAGTACTTTTCTACTTCTACGGATTATCTGTGAAGCTTTCCAAAAGTTGTACCTTATTGCAAATTTGGCTTGCCTTATTTCAAAATTTATTATATCGTTTTGCAAAGTATAATATATACATTCATAGTAGTAGTAATATTCCTAAAATGGCACCGACAGTAAAACGAAAACGACAAAAAATACGATAGAAATTTAAATGTGTGCATATCTATTTATACAAATAGGATACCCTTTTGTTTTTTTATGTTGTACTAATCAGGTAATTTTTAAAAAGCTAGTTAAGTTAATTTCAAAAATCTGTTTTAGGGAAGATGCAGAAAATTTACATAGGCGGCATCACCAGGACAGCATAGACAACAACAATATAGAGGTGAAGGCAATGTAATAAACTTACTTAACTTTAAGGCGATATGCCAAAAGAAAGTATCCCAAATGTAGTGCTAGTTTCCGACCAAAGTTCATTGAAAATTAGTCTCTGTTAAAATTATGTTTTGTCAGATTTTAGGTGTTTTAATTTAAAACGAATTCGCATGGACTGGAATAGTGGAATTGAAATTAGTTCGATGAACCTGATTTTTTACATTTAAGTGCCATTCTATTATTAGTAAATATAATTTTATTCTTAATTTTTTCTTGTTGTACATTTGTAATTATCCCTCCCGTATTAATTAATTCGAATGATGTATTAGGACATAACATAACTTATTTTTTTTTAATACATTGTACAAAAATATCCAACAAAATGTAGTTGGATCGTGTTCACAATATAGTAGATTAAAAATTGTTATCTCGTATTTACTTAATAATAAAGTAATTAAAATTTTATCATTGTTCCAATATACTTTTACTTAGTTGCATGCAAGTCCTACTAGTGATTAGCAAGTAATTATTGTAAAGTTGTTAATAAATAATTTACAATAAATTTTTTAATAAAATCTTCTGTCTTTCAATACGTCAGTGATGATAACTAAGAAATAGTTATCATCCGGGACTCATTTTAATAAGAATTATTGTCATCAACTTTGTCTTATTCTTTCGAACTAACTATTGGAATATGCGAATTTCATTTCAAACTAATTTAGTTTTTTAGTTAGAAAAAATCTTCAATTAAAAATAAATGATAGGTAAAACAGGGATACTTATTTTTAAAAGCGAGACTTTATCTGTGTCTGTTCCATTTATTTGAATAAGGCGATATGTATTAAAATACATAATAGCATATTATATTAGGTTGGGATAAAACTCGCAAATAGTATGTATGAACTTATAATATAGTCTCTTTGGATATACCATTTGTATCTGGCTGGTGTTAGTATTATTAAAAAGTTTAAATTAAAAAAAAATATTTCCAGATTCAAATTAGGAAAATGTGTTATTTTCATTTGTTTTTCTTACTGTTAAGATGAGTGATTTTAATGAAGAATTTCCATACACTTTGAAATTTTACTACAAAAAGGGTCAAAATGCAACGCACGCCACGAAAAATAATTGTGATGTTTATGGGCCTAGTGCAATGTCTGTGAGAGTAGCTAAAATTTGGTTTACGCGTTTTCAATCCGGAAATTTTGATGTCAAAGATGTTCTCGCTCTGTGCGCCCTGTTAGGGATAAAATGGGTGCCATTTTTGAAACAGTGGAGCAAGATCGGCATATCGGTAGTTACAATGTAACTGAAGAACTGGGAAATGACCACAAAACAGTTTTGGCGCATTTGAAAAAAGCTGGGTACACAAAAAAGCTCGATATTTGGGTGCCTCATGATCTCACTGAAAGAAACCTAATGAACGGTGTACTCATTTGTGATTCTTTATTACGAAGTAATGAAACCGAACCATTTTTGAAACCTGATAAGAAAAGTGGATCACGTACGACAAGAACGTGGTACGGTGGTACGGTTACGGTGGTACTCACAGAAGACCGGCAACTAACGCGTTTCGTCTGGTAAGTGAGGTAGCCGGAGCCCGATTTTCTAAAGGTTGTCAACGCATCTGCAAACCCTCGGGTATAACAGATGTCCATGGGCGGTGGTATTCACTTAACATCAGGTGAACCACCTGCTCGCTTGGCAACTTTTCCAATAAAAAAAAAGTGCGAAAAAGGTCGTGGTCAAGGCCGATCAGACTTCCCAGACTCTGGCGAATAAATAAATAAATAAATAAGATAAATAAATATAAATAATCTTGCAACAAGATAATACGGTGTGTATGGTGGTATTGGAAGGGTATTATTCAGTATGAGCAGTTACCGCCAGGCAAGACCATCGTTTCTGAACTGTACTGCGAAGAACTGATGAGATTAAAGCAAGAAATTGAGAGAAAGCGGCCGAAATTAATCAACAGTAGGGGTGTGGTTTTTCATCATGATAACGCTAGACCTCACACGTCTTTAGCCACTCAGCAAAAATTAAGAGTTGGGCTGGGAGGTGTTAATGCTTCCGCCGTATAGTCCTGACCTTGCACCTTCAGATTTCCATTTAGTCCCTTCAGAATTCCTTAGGCAGTGTCAGGTTAACATGAGAAGCCCCAAAATTTCTATAGCAATGGGATCATGTCCCTACCTACCAGATGGCAGAAAGTTATCCAACAAAATGACACCTACATACTATAGTTAAATGTAAATAAACTTTGTTTAAAAATGTTTTGAATTTTCATATAAAATGCGAAGAAACTTTTTCCAACCTATTATGCAATTAGCTCAATTAAGGTTTGGATAACATTACAGCAGTAAAGAATGATTCCACCATATTTATTGCGCGCGCAATTCCTGCCAAAGTAGTCAATAATGAACCTTAAGGAAATATTTTAATTCAACTTACAATCTGCACTTACATGTAACACGATTTGTATATTAGATAATAAGAATATAAGTTTTGCTAATTACATGAAAACAGATTATTTAAAAAATTTAATCTCGAAAATACAGTAAACGCTAAACAAATGACAACATTAAAATTTTAAAGACACATTATTATAAAAAAAGCAAATACACGATTCAAGAAGAGGTACTACTAATGTTTATAAACAGTGTGAAATCAATTAGTTTTACGTAGGGGTTGCGAATGTTTTAGTGAAAAACAGCCTTCACCCGCACATCGGGTCTGGAAAAGCTCCGTTAGGGAACGTGAATAAGGAAAGTGCCGCAGCCACACAGTTTTCTATCTTTAGATCAATCCCCTGATATGTTTAAGGTAAAGTATAGTGAACAGTGTGTGTGAAATATTAATTGGTTGTCTAAAAATACAGTTTTCGATAAACTTGTGATATTTCAGCCGCAACATGTAATGGTCGCGTATTTATTTATGATGAACATAGTGTTAGACTCGGCGACAATAACGAAAAGAAGCTACTCGGACCAATCCGTACGCGGTTACATCACTGAGGTAAGTTTTAAACTAATAATTTTTATGGAAGAAAGCTGTAACACTGTATTCGTCACTCAATTTACTTACACGGTTATTTCATCCAGCGTTAAAGACTCCATGAATGTGAGGAAGACTCGATCAAATTTAATTAGGTAAATAGAGCAAATATTCTAGTTCTTGAGGACTGTTGCAGAGAACATGCTGGTGGAACGAAGTGTGCAAAGAGGAGTTCCAAACACTGTTCAGATGCAAATGTCCATCATGGTCGTACTGCCGGAGCCCCGGTAAATATTACAATGCTGTATGCTCCATGACGGAGACCGGGTACATTTGGGACCAACCCAATTCGCAATGGCGTGGTCAATAATTACCAAATATCATTTCTCTCCTTAAGTGTTCAGTACCTGTTACATATTTGATTATGTTTACTTATAAAACAATCAATATGCAAGCTAAATTTGACGTGCCAAATGTTAACAACGATTTTGAGACTGATTCATTAAGAAAAGAAATTAAATTTCGCCTTGTATTTTCGTATTTAGCCGGGAGACGATTGTGCTTTTATTTCGTCTTTGAATTTTAACCTCGTGTTATTTTAAGTATGTATACATCGACCAATTTTTTTGTAATATTATGTAATTACGAATTAAATTGAACATATTAAAGATTATGAAAATGTGTTTCGTTTCATTTAACAAATATTGTTAAGTGCAGTTCACGTCAATAATCCAGATCGGTAGCACGCATGCGTGTTACCAACTGCCGACTTTGTAAGAGCCGACAATCAATACAACTTCAGTGAACAGTGAACGTAAGCCAAAAGCAGTTTGATACCGGCAAAGACTGTAAAAATGTTGCAGATATTTCTACTATTATTGTACTTAACGAAAATCCACTGCGAACCGGAAACGGTAAGGGAAAACTTGGATTACTTCAGTTATGGTAACAGTGAAGACGTGTTAAAGAATTTGGACATACATGTCGTGAGTATTTTTAAAATACTGTTACTGGAAACAGTTATTACGGTGAGGTCATATTTTGAAACTTAAAAATTACAGCCCAAAGATGAGATTGTACTTAGGCCGCAAGAAGTGAAAGAATGGCCACAGCAATCTCTTAACGTTGGACAAATTACTGCCGTCTCCATAAATTCATTGGGACAACCCGTAATTTTCCATAGAGCTGAAAGGGTTTGGGACGAAAGGTATTTAAATCTCAAAATTAAATTACTTTACTTCATTGGAAAGTAGTATCGTCTAAATGCATCTTTTGTTACAGTACATTTAATGAGTCGAATGTTTATCAAAACCTGGACAAAGGTCCGATAATAGAAGACACAATATTAGTGCTAGATCCCCATACTGGATCCGTGCTCCACAGTTGGGGAGCCTATTCATTTTACATGCCACACGGTCTAAACGTTGACCATCACGACAATGTATGGGTCACGGACGTCGCAAAACATCAAGTATTCAAGGTAATTATTACGTTTGTTATTTTTAAAACTTCAAAAGTCTTCTATTTTAAGATAGATGTAAAATAGAAAAAAATAAATAACTTTTAAATGCCAGTTTTATTTAACTTAAAAATGTTTCCACAACTTAACATTTAATTAACACGCTCAAAATCTCGGATAAATTTCAACTTGGGAAGAGCTATTGGAAATTGAAATAAATGTTCATACTAAAAACCTAACCCCCTTTCAGTACACCCCTAACAACCACAAATATCCCAGCCTTACTATCGGAGAAGCTTTCACAGCGGGCTTTCCGTACAGACGGCGGGTGTTGCTATGCATGCCGACCTCAGTGGCCATAGCTAGCACCGGCGAGATATTCGTCGCAGACGGCTACTGCAACAATCAGATATTGAAGTTCAACGCGGCCGGCACCTTACTATTGGCGATCCCGTCGTTCTCCGACACGCTGACCTTGAACCTGCCACACAGCGTCACGCTGTTGGAGCACTTGGACGTTGTGTGCGTCGCTGACAGGGAGAACATGAGGATTGTATGCCCGAAGGCGGGACTAAAGAGCTACATAGACATCATGGAACCCGCAACCATTATAGAGGATCCCACGCTGGGACGCGTGTTCGCTGTAGCCTCGCATGGTGACATCATTTACGCAGTAAACGGTCCAACTTCGCAGAACATAGCTGTCAGGGGTTTCACAGTTAACGCTGTGTACGGCAATATTTTGGACACATGGGAGCCCGCCACTGTAAGTTGTTTAAAATGTTGTCTATGGCTTTATCGTCGATTGACAATATGTCTCTTATGTTTGCGAATGATGAGTTAACGAAATTGAAGCCATGTTCCTGGACGCAAAATATACGTGCGTTGCTCTACTCGTAGGGTCATAACAAGTCCGTTGGAACGATAATCTTTTTGCGAGCCCTATCCGAAAAACCTTTGCTTAGTTCTTAGGACTAAAAGCTAAAGTATCATCATACAACGGCAAGCACACTGATTAAAGCTACATTAACTGTTACATCCTGTCTCCTACAGATGTTATTTTTAATTGGTACATTAGCTGTTTGCAATGATTTTTTTTTAAATTATTGATTCTAGGTGAAAATAATCGTAAATAATTTAGTTTCAATATGCATGTATTATTGAATATATGTAATCTTTCAATTCTTTTACAGGGCTTTACAAATCCACATTCACTGGCTGTAACAAGGAATGGGTCGCATCTTTACGTTACGGAGATAGGACCAAATAAAATCTGGAAGTTTGAGTTGACCGATGTATACGATAAAAAATAAATAAAACAACGAAGCGTAGAAAATATTCTTAATCAGCTTTAGTTCATAGCGTGATATGTCTTTATTTGCAATGGCGAATAAAATTCGCAATGATTGTGAAAGTGGTTAGGGTTCTAATGCCTGCTCGTTTTCCGTGATAATAAAACAACTAATCTAGCTAGAAAAAGAACAAAATGCATAATGAGAATAAAATTTAATGTTATAATATATAATAATATAATATTATTAAATTTCACTCGTATCTCTTCCGTGTAGAAGAAAAAACTTTTTGTTTAATTCATAATTATGACAATCAAACGCTGTCATAAAATGTGAATTGCAGAATATTTAGAAGCCATTAGTTTACGAAACTTCTCAACAAAATCTATTTTCTTCGAATTACTCTTGTTAACATAGATAAGACATCTTGTTAATAAAACTAAATTGATTCAAAATGAAACAATAACAAATATTTAGTAATTTTCATATTTATACAAAATCAAAACAATTACCTTGTCTAAAATGGGACACAAAGTTATTGAAAAATTAAATTTGAACATAGTGCCTGGAACGAATGAAAAATTTGTGCTTTCGGCATTCTTAAGAAACTAAGAAACTTCATGATGCTTGCGCTGAAAATGGAGCCTAAATATAAACTATGATTAATAAATTCAACTGTATCTTCGATGCAGTATTGTTATAGTAGTATTTAGATGAGTAGTAAATATAAAAAAACATAATATAAATAAAAGTTGATGCTAATTTAATGAAAAACCTATTAGGATACTGATTTCACAGGTCCGATATAACCACGCACAGAAATAATTTAAGTAATCTTGAAATTATTCAAATTCTCATGTTCATTCTCTGTTCTCAATTTTCACAATATGTTATCCTACATCTCGTTAACTATAAATAATTAAGATTATACGGAACTTCAATGAAACCTTTTAATTGAAATTATTTTTATATACCGTTATTAAAACATACTTGTGATTTTCATAAATTTAGATTATTTTTTTATATATACATTAGATTTTACTAAACGATGTTCACACCTGATAATCTAATATTTAAAGGACCAAATATGGATTTGGTAAAAATTTGCGCGTAACGATGAAGACAAATATGTAGAAAAAATATTTACGTCTTTATAAGTAGAATATATGTGAAAATATTTAATATAACATATTTAACAAATGATAAAAGCGTTTCATTAAAACCCTCGAACATCGTAAACCTAACACTAGCGGACAGTATTTCAGAATTATGCACGTAACAATACGTTCACTAATGATGAAATCGAAGCAAAAAACAACGTAAAAGAAATTTTGAGAAGTGTATTATGTCCGTTGTTTTTTTTATTGAAATATTGGAGGATAGTGCCATATTGGTAGTAAATACAATTCTTGTATTTTATATGGAGGTTTATACTTATACGAAATGAAATATATGTAAGCTGACTACTTAAGCTAAACCGACCCCGCGGTAACAACCAGAACTAGTATCCTTAATTGACGAGGGATCAAAAGCAGTAAGTCAAAATCGAGTTAATTACATACAAAAGAAAATCGACAAACAAGTAAAAGATAAAGCAAGATTTGATCAGGTTATAGCTAAGGTGAAGAATGTAGTTTCGCATAGTATGAAAATGTTTATGACAGCTTTCAATAACCGATTTTAAATTAAAAAAGGACATGAAATTATTAATTTTGTCAAATGATTGAAAAACAAATAACCTTTTTATTATGTGTCAAATGATTGGATGGACATGTTTGATATTAAGTTATATTGTTATACGATAAACCGTGGCAGCTAAATGACCGAGCGGTCTCTTTTTACCCGAGTATAACTAATTATATGCCCGGTACGTACCTTTTATACCTTTGAAATTTTAAGGTCTGTTATGCCACGTACACGACAGCCAAGGAATGTCTTGAAGTATTCTGCATTACTTACATAAATATAAACCATGTATGATGTGTAAACGCCGACAATCTGTAATCTCGTAGTACGGTTGCTAAAAGGTTACGTTGTTTGCCGTTTGCCAGAGACTTTTGCCCAGTGGGATAGACAGGGCCGAAATCAGGCGATTTTTTATTTTTATCAGACCGGGGTTTCCACAAAAGAGGGGCCCCCACAATAGACTTCGGAAAAAAAATCAAATTTAGACTAGTAAACACTAGTCAACAACTTTTGATTTCATATTTGTCATAATTCTTGTTTCTGATTATATTTATATGTTCGTTAAATAATAAAAGAATCTATACTTGGTTTCAAAATAAATTATTTATTAGAAAACTCGACTGAAAAAATTTTTTCATTTTATTTGGAAAATTATTTGGGGCCAAGGGGCCTCCACTCCTTTGTTACCCCGAGGCCTCCAGACCTTTAAATCTGCCCTGTACATAGAGATGTGTTTATTATACAGGGCTTTATCGTACTAACGTCAATAAATAATAACGTCAAGGGTATTTAGTGTTTAAAAAATACAAAGATGGAATAAATTAACTTATTTTATTATTTAGTACCTTCATGCTACATTCACAGACGATGATAAATACGCAATCGAGCTTTATAAGACTACGGAATGCAAAATTAAGTTTCGTATTTTCGCTTTTTCATGACCTTCATAAACAGGACCATATCTGTAACAAGGTACATTTATGAATAGAGCGCACTCAATATTAGCGGAAATTAAAGTGAAACAAACGAATACTCGTAAAGAATCTAATCATCTAGATGAACCGACCGCCCATAAATAAATAGGTCCTCGTGGACAAAATGAAATAATAAATAAAATATGAGAAGAAAAAATTTTAAATGTTGCTTATGTTGCAACAAAACTAATTTACTACCCTTTCTTCGCTTACTCCCCTTCTTTTACTTGGGTGGGTTGGGCACAAAATGTGAACGAAATTGTTAATGGTATTTGCTAGGTGTTTTATAATCGGCCGCACACCTTACGTCAATCTCTCATTTAACGAACGACCAGATCCAGAAAAAATATCAGTGGGTCACACAAATACTAGTGGCATGCAGGAATCGAACCCCAGCATCGAAAATAAAAGCTTAGCAACTGCAACCTTACTCACATTACTTGCTAGTTAAATTAAGTAAATAAGAACAACTTCTTAATGCATTAAGACGGACATACGTGTTTAGTCCTCCAGCACAGGTTTTATAGAATAGATGAGATGATTAAAGTTCACAATACACCTTTATAATCTTTGGCATAATTTTAATAATTCAAATTGATTTGTTAATTTTCGTTCACAAAGGTTTATCACGTTGATTAAAATCATCGACTTACTTATAAATATGACCATGACAACAGCTAGCATGATCCACAGCCAGCATTTCCATGCACTGCGGCTGTGCTCTTGAAGTCGTTCAGATTCCACTTTCAATGACATCATATTGCGATCGGTCAGGTCTGAAGACTTCTTTAAGGCCTATAATGTGAAATCACTGGCATTAGTTTTGTCTTGGTCAATAATGAATTATTGATCAACGATCAGAATGATCATTCAGAGAGTTTAACAATCCTTTTGGCAACTCAAATAACATTTGAAAAGCCATTTGGCAGCTGATTAGTTAACTTCTACAATGATCAGTGTTTCAGAAACCGGGCGTTAGCGTCGTGTTCCAAGGACAAGCCTGCATAACAACAAAAGCTACTAAAGAAAAACTATAGCAAGAGCTACCATTCGGCCCTGCTACAGTTGAAAGTGAAAAGGTCAGATGTGTTTAAGGGAAAGTGGTTGGACGACATAAAATGAACTGGACTCAGTTATTGGCATTTAAAAAGCGCATCATAATAATGCAATTTACAAAGTTTCACCTACAGACCACCAAACTTCATTTTAAACTTGCTATATAAAGATGGCGACACCTAATGATGAGATCCATCTATGTACACTTTCCGAATAGGTAATATTGAAATATTTCTAGAGATAATAAATAAATCTTACTTCAGTATCAGCTTTAATAATAGTACTGGCTATTTGTGACTGCTCTTTCAAGCTTTTTGTGAGTAACACCATATTCTCTGCAACTTTCTCCTGCATGTTTTGATGATATTTTAATAGAGAATCAATATCTTCTTGACTTGTACTATTGCTTTTAAAATTAGGAGCCTTTATAATATTGCGTTTTCTTAAAGTATCGTCAGTATCTTCTGCAAAATAAAATGTTGTTAGTTTTTCTTATAAAAAAGTTGCATAATGATTATTACATGTTACATATATTCAACCATATTTAATGTAAAATACATTGATATACCTAATATACTTTACTAATTTGAACTCACTTATTTTCATTAACAAAAATGAACATTATTCTTGAACAAAAATTTTCATTATACCATACTTTACACAGTTTAATTTTATGTAACTCAAATTACTCCCAGTGCAAAGTCAATATGAGCTAGCTATTTTTAAAGACCTCTATCACATATAGGGATTGCAATCCAGCAAAGAGGGATCTCGCAATACAGCGGGATCCAGCATAATTTTAGGTACTGCGGGATACCTTAACAGCTTGCGGATCTGAAAGCATAAAATCATGCACATTCATTCAAATTTTGTCACCTTGAATTTACTTCGCAGCGCTTCATATAACATAAGTTGACCTGTTTATACATGCATAACCCGCTCCATGCTGATCGCCACTCGCTAAACAGTTTAGTTGCCATTTGACTCGCTAGGTTGGCACTTACCATAACAACAAACATTTGATTTTGTTTTGAAGTCAATCAACAACCTACGAGTAAGTATAATGCTTATTAACTTGTCCTTGAATTACAGTTCTTATAAGAAGGCTACATATGTAGTTCTACAAGAAGTAGATTGGGAGATAATACTATTGATGCTATTTGTTTTTTAAGATCATATTTCCAAAAAGAGAAGTGACTTATTATTTGATATTTTTAAATTTGTTACATGTTTTTATTGATTCTTTACTTTAGTAAGAAAAATTAAGCCAATTAGTAAACTTAAATTCACATGATAGGTACTTTAAATCTCTGAATAAAGAAGACTGACTATAATTACCTCAGATTAACATTAGAAGTAATATTACTAATCAACTAAAGTACAAAGACAAGAAATTACCAAATATTGATATTTGCAATTGTTTTTGAACTTTTTATTAATAAGTAGGTCGTCCAACAAATATAAAATAATTATTCAACTAGAGGTAGTAAGATATTGTTGACTTGTTTAATTTATTAATAAATATGTGATCATACATAAGAAATAATACTAGCTATAATTTTTGTGGGATCTCGCAGGATCCCACTGGATTGAAGTCAATTCAGCAAAAATCCTGCTGGATTGAAAACAGTGCTGGATTGCAATCCCTAATCACATAGATATATCAAAGGGTAACATGCTGTTAAAGTTGCAGGAAAACTTACCCAAACCAAATAACTCTGATCGTAGTTCATCACCATATTTAGCAACTGTCTTTTGATGTATCTCTTGAGCAGCGGCATCTGAGTCTAGGGTAGCAGATCCATGTGATAAAAGTTGGACCGCTTCTAACTGCAAATAATAATACAAGTAATCATATTTATTTTGAATATAAAAATCGAATTCAAGATTACAATACATGGGTGTGCATATTATTATTATGTATGACTTTAAACTCAACAAATTAAACATATGTACAAAGTCATTTTATAACAGCACATATTTGAAAGAAAAAGTGTAAAGTTTGACAAAACCAATATTTTTTTAAATGTTTGGTACTATTGATACAAAATAAAAAATCCATGTAGTAATAGAAGATACCTTTTCAATTGGACTATTTAAAGTTGCTGTTTGGATTAATCCTTTCAAAAATGCTGCACGTTTTGTATATTCACTTATTAGGTCCTTTTCTATCTTACTGAAAAAAATTTTAAATTGAGTTCTAATCTCATACTACATTTATATTTGGGGAACTTATGAAATAAAAATACCTAGAAGTTTAGACAATTGGCTTACAAAACAAATTTCAGTATTGGAGTTAGCTCGGTGCTCTCCTTCTTCTTAATTTAAATCCGGGTGCAGGCACCAATAAAGTTGTTAATTTTAAATTTAAGCGCTCGCTTATCACTTGGCAGACTTCCACATAATTTATAAATTTTTAATTATAATTGGGAATAACAATTACATCTTGCAATTTTTCACTAAGGAAATCCACCATTATTTTACATACAAAACATTTTTATCAGTTGATTTAGAAATTTTAAGAGGGAATTTACATTTTTGAGCATACAGTGATATGGGAAACTATTGCTATTTATAAATTTCTATGATAAATTTGATTCAACGTTTTTTTATTTCAAACTAATAGGATCGTCATTAATTGCAAGGTTTAATTTTTTTCAAAGGATTGTTATTGTGGATTTATTCAATTTATGGTTCCGGTTCTGTTTGTGTCAATTAAAGTTTTTTAATAGGAATGCCAAAATTAGGCTTTTACTTTATTATCAGAGAAAATTGTGTGAAGTACTCACTCAGGTCCAGTCCTTAATTCCGTTAACATTTCGTCTACAGCCACTAAATATTGTTTCAGTCTCCAATTTCCATCCACTGGTTCTTCTTTTGCCATTAACTCGCATTTATTTAATAAAAGTCGCACATTAATCTCTTCTCTGCATTTTTTAGGTAATGTTCCGACACTCATTTTAGGTTTTTCGATAGCCATTTTGATTAATATTTAGATTTCAAATTATTGTAAATTATTTTGATATATTGCTAAATGCAAGGCTCAATAAAGAGTAGTATTATTTTAAAATTTTTCAATATTCAATTATTTGTCTATGTCTTGTCAATTTTGGCATACGTGTAGTCTAGGGATGGGCGTATATACTGGCACAGGTATAAATACCCAGTATGAACATACCAGTACGCACACCGGGTATGTACGGCAGAGGCCCGTTCCATACCCAATAGGTAGGGCCGCCTCGTCAGTGGCGGTATATAACGCTCGCGAAACCCGCCGGCCGAATAGGTACGAAGTTATCCGAACGCTTACGGCGGCTCTTCTCGATCATGCCCGAATTGAAACGTATGATTTAGGTATTTTATGCCAAATAATTCCTTGAGATAAATTTATTCTTTATTTCTATAACAATTAGGTAGATAAATAATTGCGTAATAAGGTTAAACAGTAATATTTATTTTGAATTACTTTTTTTTGATAATAGGGTTCTTTACGTTAGTAAAGATCATTTTAGGAGCTCATTTTAGACTGATTAAATCTCAATTAAAAAAAAACTGATTGCTAAAAAAAAACATCTAAATGTTCCAATTCCAACCAAAGGTTCAATTCGTTTGATTCGACCGAGTCTCTAAAAGGAGGCCTGAACATAACTAATACTTATAGGTATTTTGATACTGGGTTTTAGCCCGGGTATACGGCGATACCCGTACCTTTGAGGCCGGGTATAGAATGTTGCAGGTATATCTCATGCCTAGTGTAGTCATCACAGAACATCTAAAGTATATACTCTAAGGAGTCATAGATAAGACATAATTACTGCGTGTAGTGCATATTTTAGAGATGTACGCAGGGCTGGATTTAGGTGCGGTAAATATTATTATTATATATACTTTATTGAACACCATAAAACATAAAAGGAAATGTTACAGAACTATAAACTTAAGAGGTATACTATACTACAATAAGGTCTTATCGCTAAGGAACGATCTCTTCCAGACAACCTTGTGGCTAAAAATATTTTAATTTCGACAACGATAGGTGGTGCAAATGATAAACTTACATACTAACATTAACATTTAAATATACTGAACGAAAATGTTGTATTTTTGTATTTTTTTTTATGTGAAAAGTTGTCACGCGAACAGACGGTTCACATGATTTTAACCGAATACCACCACCCATGGACATCTGCTAGACCCTAGGTTTCCAGATGCATTGACAACCTTTTGAAAATTGGGCTCCGGCCACCTCACTCACCAGACGAAACGCGAAAGTATTATACTTCCACTTTACGCCGGTTTTCTGTGAGGTCGTGGTTACTTACCCGGACGAGCCTGCCCATTCGAGCAACAGCCGAGGCTGCTGCATAGCCCTACTACCGTCAAAGTAATTATAATAATAATATACTAATATATACCGAATAAGATACAATAGACATACATAAATCTAAACGTATACTATACAATAACTTACAAAAATATATACAGGAAAAAGATATACAAATGTCGTCGGTGATAATCAGTTTGAACACAGTGACAGATAATAATTTTTAACGTCAGTTTTAAACTTACGTAACGTTTTTGAGTGCTGGATTTGTGGAGGAAGCGCGTTCCATAGGCAAATGGCTTTGACCGTAAAAGAGTTCTTAAAATAGTTGGTCCAGAAAGTATGCGGGGTGATAATAAGTTCTCTGGCTGGTCGTAAAACTCTTTCTGGTCTGTTATGACCATGAAAAACTGTTCCTTTAAATAACTCGGAGTTATAGGATTGAACAAAATACAGTACAGAAGAGAAACAATATGCAGATTCTAGCGAAGGCGAATGGGTAACCACTTGAGCTAGACGGAAACTAGATCTGATAGCTAAGTTTCGAATTTGCGCAAGCTTGTTAAGTTGGTCCTAGGTTAAATCAAGATAGCTAGCGTCCGCATAATCGAGAATGGAAAGAAGTAAGGATTGTGCTAACATAATCTTGGTAGGAATGGGGAGAAAAGAATTAGTATTATATGATAGTATTTGACAAAAATTATAGTACACTATTATTTTCATAATTGAAACACAAAAATAAATTACTTTACTCAAGAATTCGGCGGTCGCTTATAGTTTTCGAAAAAATAAAAAATGAAATAGTGTGATTTTTACTATAGAAATCCGCCATTTTTTTGTTGTCAATATGTCAATTCAGCTCGTATTTCTTGGTGGTCATAAAAAAAAAAAAACCTAACATCGAAGGTTAAGGCGGGAGCTTCGCTCCCGCCTGAACCTTCTAACCTAATCTATCCGAGTCGGATTCGCTCTGTGTCGGTTCTATGACTCATTAAATTAAAAAAAAAATCGGAATATCGATACGTGTATGATGTCGCCCGCTTCCTATATTTATCACGTTGGCAAAACTGTGTATTGAGTTTTTGAAGTCAAACAAATAAAATGGTGGACTTCTTAGTACAAAAAAACAAGTTTTAAATATTTTTTTCTCGAAAACTATAAGCGACCGCCGAATTCTGCTTTTTGATAAATTCATAACTGATTTTTCTCTATCGTTTAAAATTTATTTGATTTGAATTACGCCGGAGTTAAAGTTATTTACATTTACCAAAATTTATTTTAATTGAATTACGGAGGAGTTAAAGTTATTTACATTTACCTTTTTTTACTTTGTGTAGTTAATTATTAATAGTAATAGTTTAATTTCTATACCTAGGTAAGTTTTATATATTTTATTATAATGAATGAATCCCCTGATCCCGGGGGTGGAGTCCCCGAGGTTGCGTACAATGTAGAAGTTTCTAATGGCGAGTCTTGTATGGACACTGATGCGTCGAATACTCTTATCATTAGAAAATGCTCACGTTTGTAGAAAATTTGCAAACATTGCAATAAAAAAAGGAGGAGCAGTCATTCTGGTACTAAGAATTACCAAACTAAGCATGCCTGTCATTGCGATAGTGATGAGAACAGCACCATTCTAAATAATGTTGCATCACCAGTAACAACAGAATCAAAAGAGCCCGAGCAACTTAGTGTCGAATATAGAAAGATTTACCAAAACAGTGACTTATCACCTTATATTATACATGTTCAAAAAGAAGTATCTTCATTTAATGATGGTATTTCATTCCACCCTGTGTCCTTTGGCAATTTTCTAAAAAAAAATGCATTTAGGAATATCATCAATGGCAGTATAAAAAAAATTGGTAGGAACAAGATTTCCCTTGCATTTTCCAATTTTACTGATGCTAACACTTTTATTAATCATCCTTCTTTGTCTACACAGAAATTAAAAGCCTTTATTCCAACCTTCAACATAACTAGGATGGGTATTGTAAGAGGAGTGCCAGCTGAATGGTCCCCAGATGAAATTAAAAATAACATGACTGTGCCAATGGGTTGTGGTGAAATTTAAAAAATAAGACGATTAAATTATAAAACAACTGTTGATGGGTCTCCAGTTTGGAAACCTTCACAGACAGTAGTTATAACATTTGATGGTCAGGTTCTTCCAAAACACATTTATATGTGCTATAATGCTTTATCTGTCGAACTTTACACATATCCTACTATACAATGTTACAACTGCTGTCGATATGGTCACACTAAAATTCAATGTAAGTCCAAACCACGCTGCTTTAAGTGTGGAGATGTTCATACAAGTGACTCTTGCAATAAAGATGATGACTGTGCTTTCTGTTTCCTTTGTTCTGGGTCACATTTTACTATTAGCAAATCATGTCCTGAATGGGCTAGACAAAAAGAAATAAAATTGACCATGGCACAAAACTGCATCTCATATGCAGAGGCTTCCAAAATGCTCCCCCCTGTCACTAAGTCTTATGTTGACATTCTTAAATCTGTTCCCTCTAGCACTTATTCAGCTGAGTCTATGAGGCCACAACATTCTTTGTCATCACATATTAACCAACCATTGAAAAACTCATATAAAAAGACAGTTTCTTTAAAAACTCGACCTCTTCCCCATTTCAACAAAGGCTATGACAAAGCAGCTCATCAAGCTCTAATTAAGGACTTTGAAATCCCAATGTCGTCTAACGGATGTGCATTAACACCCAATGGGAATGAAAAACAAGACGTATTTACAGATGTTGTAATTCCTTTAATTAATTCTTTGTTGCTAAGTAAAATAATTTCACCGAACAACGTTGCTCAAACATTTGATATTCTTAAACAAATTCTTAACAATGGACAATCAAGCCAAAGTTATACAATGGAATTGCAGGAGCATAGTTAATAAAAAAAGTGAATTAATATATTTGATTAACAAATTTAATCCTTTCCTTATCTCTCTTTCGGAGACTTGGCTGCGGCCAAATTTATCATTTAATATGCAAGGATACATTTGCCATAGAAAAGACAGATTGGATGGATATGGTGGTGTAGCAATCTTAATTAAAAAAACTGTTATTTTCACGTATGTTCCACTGCCTCCACACTCTGATAACTTTTCGGCAATTGCGATTTCATACAATAATGTTTGTTATGTATCTATTTATGTTCCTCACCCATCTCAACAAGTTTTAAATGAAGTTAATCCTCTCTTATCTTCACTGAAAAAGCCATTTTTGGTTATGGGTGATTTTAACTGTCATCATCAATCCTGGGGTAGATCTTTTTCTAATCCTAATGGAGATCTAATGTTAGATATCCTTGATCATCATAATTTATGTGTTCTAAATACTTCAAAGCCGACAAGACGTACAGAACCGAATGAGAGTGTGAGTGCTGTAGATTTATCTATATGTACTCCCAATCTTTCTTCTGTTCTAGAGTGGGACATTTTGTCTTCTACTTATGGCAGTGATCATTTTCCAATAATTATTTCGTTTCCTTTCTATAACCTTCCAAATCAAAAAGTTCCGCGTTCACGTATG